TTAAAAACCACATTATTAAGTTTAATTTACCATAAGAATACCACAAGTCGAAAAAAAACATTTTTAATGCTTCAATGATTTTTTGCCTTTCCACATTAAAAGGCCGATTACAGCTACATTTATTTTACGGGTAATAAAATTAATTAAAAAACCACATTATTAAGTTTAATTTACCATAAGAATACCACAAGTCGAAAAAAAAACATTTTTAATGCTTCAATGATTTTTAGCCTTTCCACATTAAAAGGCCGATTACAGCTACATTTATTTTACGGGTAATAAAATTAATTAAAAAACCACATTATTAAGTTTAATTTACCATAAGAATACCACAAGTCGAAAAAAAACATTTTTAATGCTTCAATGATTTTTAGCCTTTCCACATTAAAAGGCCGATTACAGCTACATTTATTTTACGGGTAATAAAATTAATTAAAAAACCACATTATTAAGTTTAATTTACCATAAGAATACCACAAGTCGAAAAAAAACATTTTTAATGCTTCAATGATTTTTAGCCTTTCCACATTAAAAGGCCGATTACAGCTACATTTATTTTACGGGTAATAAAATTAATTAAAAAACCACATTATTAAGTTTAATTTACCATAAGAATACCACAAGTCGAAAAAAAAACAGTTTTAATGCTTCAATGATTTTTAGCCTTTCCACATTAAAAGGCCGATTACAGCTACATTTATTTTACGGGTAATAAAATTAATTAAAAAACCACATTATTAAGTTTAATTTACCATAAGAATACCACAAGTCGAAAAAAAACTGCAAAATACCTACAACAAAAAAGATATGAATTTTTGAAACCTCGCTGGCAGAAAACATTCAAAAAACACAAAAAAATGTATAACTCGAAACTAAAAAAAATCGCGGAACATACATGGGGTATTTTCGTACCCCCAGGTGTGAGGAATCTAAAAAAAATTTATTGACGTCACTAGTTGGACCAACCTGTATACACGTACATATTACCATCTTCTCTTGAAGACAACCAGAGAAACACTAACACGTTTTTTTTTTTTTTTGAAGTGGAATCTCGCTGTTGGCCTTTAGGGCCTTTACAGCTCAGCTCGGGCTGTTTTGGCGAGCTTAGCTCGGCCTGACTATCACGTACGGAATGAGGCAGCATATTTATATTACATAACCGTGGTGAATAATTTGTCATAACAGCTAGAGGTATGTCGAGGGGTATTACGCAAAACTTCGCAAAAGGGAAGAGATGGTACGACAAGGGATTCCATCAAACAAAATAAAAACAGACAAAATACATATATTTTAATAACTAAATCAATTTTTCTTTAACGTGTTTTCCCGAAACGCGTTATTACGTCATTTACGTCAACGGGTACGTTTTCATGAACGTGGAGAAGTGCCAGTCCGGTTAGGTGATCTTCAACCATTGAAGATCTTAGCCACGATTTAATTCTGCGCAACGTAGAGAAATACCTTCCTGCTGTCGCTTTACTGACAGGGTAGTGTATCCAATTTTCCTATATTAGTATACATATTGATGTCACAATTTAAAATAAGACTATGTTATGATATGTTGAAGTTTAGTCGTTCCGATTCCGATTGAGGTAAGGTCTAGCTAGACGTTTCATAGCGACAAGGGCGCGCAAGTGTGGCGCGGAAAATTCAAAATTTCAAATTTTCAACATCATACAAAGTTATTATATTATATTAAATTAATTACAAATATTGAAGGTATGTAGTTACATATAATCTGTATGGTGACAAATTTATATATAAAATCATTATGTTCAATTAGTGGTCCACCTAAGTCCTGCTCAGGGGGGTCATGACCCCCATGACCCCCCTGGATCCGCCGTTGGGTACATAACAGCTACTCGGTGACTTCACATGGCATTTGAGTATCGACTATCGTAACTTATCGGGCGGAATTCAGTAACATTTTAACAATTACTCATAACATCATAACTTTCTTTGGAAAACATTATAAAAACAAATTGCTTGACATTAATGTATTAAATGTATAATAGCTGCCGTCAGGAATCCAAAATGGCTATCCCTTGGCTTTGCGTTGAGATGTAGAGTTATTCTGCATCGTCGCCGATGATGCCTCGACGTCCGTCGTTCCACAATTGAGTGTTTTTTATGGCAGTTTATGACGCGCACCACACTTACATGCTCACCTGAGCCTCCGGCCTCTTTACCCACTCTTCTATACTCATAGATAAAAAAAAATTGACACTCATAGATTTTATGGAAAAGTTTTAGTTTTGTGCGTTTTGGAAGTTTAAGACTTAACATTAGTGCAAAGTAAATTACGAAGGTTTATAAAAATAGATAATATAGTAAATTAAAACAAAAAGCTATGTGTAATAAATAATGCTACGCATACATCATCACTATTGTATCGGACGTGATTAATTTTGCCGCCAGACGGTGTTGCCACACTTCAACAACAATTGGTGTTTGGCAAGCGGTCAGCCGGTACGTGATGTACATTCAAAACAAGATTTATGGTTTCAATAAATACTAAAACCTTCAATTAGACAGAAGAAGAACAGAAACTTTCTTGAGTGTTTTCCACGATTGATTTGCCGAACAAAGAATACATTAAAAAACATTACAATTCTCATAGTAGTTTTTATTTAGAGTAACACGGGTAGGATAGCGCTACAAATAAGACGGTGCGTAATTAACAGGGACGTTTTTATAACTATCTTATGCTATATAAAAATAATTGCTAAATAAAATTTTAATACATTATGAATAGGGGTTTATTGTAAACTTTTCCGCAACGACCTTCTTATTTCTAAATTTTTACTATTTATTAAACATATCTAACATGTATTATGTTATTACAGCATATATTTAATAGAAATCGAACTATAATGTAGCGGACAAAGAATACGTCATAAATGCTATATTCTCAATATTTATAATTTGTATGCGTGAAATGCCGCTTTCGTGGTGAGAATCGCTTATGAAAGTGAAAACGACCCCGACCGATATATTAAGTTCAATAGTACCTATGTAATTACAGACATTAGGTTCAATGGTCACCAAATAATCTCTCTATCTATTTTATCATTACATTATCATTATTTTTTAATGAAATTTGTGAGAGTGATGTGAGGCACATCTGTCTACCAATTTATCTGTTATGAGAAAGAGTTCTTGTTAGATAAATTATATTGTACATATATGACTATATTTTCGTAATAGTATAAGATCCCGATATACAACGACCATCACCGAGATGCTTATTTAATGAAACGTATTTTATATTTAATTGAATATGTCAATAAATATAATCCATATGGGTTGCCTAGCAAATTTCAGTCCAGAGTATGTTTAATTAATATAAAAAAATTTTTTATTTATAATTTGCATGTAGTAATTTTTTTCAATCAATATTTTTAATCAGGGTAGTATTATATATGTATCATTATAACTTTCTTTTTTACTAAAGATGTATATATACTTTAGTGTCACATAAAAAATATACACATAAATAATTAATTGATTAAAAACAACCTAACGTTTGCATATTCTATGGGCTTCATACTTTCGATTGGTATAGAATTTATCTAATAATCATACCGGTGAAATGTTTAAAAAAAGTTTTTTTTAAATATTAATTAAAATACTCTAGACTGAAATTTGCTAGGCAACCCATATGGATTATATTTATTGACATATTAAATTAAATATAAAATACGTTTCATTAAATAAGCATCTCGGTGAAGGTCGTTGTATATCGGGATCTTAGACCATAAAGAATATTCAGGAAAAAGTAAAAATAAATAAACCAACAATAATACCTACAATAATTATAGTCGTATGCATTACGCATCCTACTAAAGGGGCTCCTAGACGGGCCATTTTTTCACGAAAATGTACCTATAGCTGCAAGGGTGTGGCGGGTAGCATCAGCCATCATTTACGGCTAGACTATGCAACACTCGGCAATATTTGACGGAAAATTGTTCGAGTCATAATTTCAGACTTAAAATATGTAATGTATCACGCCTATTGAAATATGGTCGAATACACATTTTTCTTCGTTTTTTTGTTTTGACTTAGCTTTTAAAACGCTTTTGCAACGCGTATGAGTTCCTCCGCCATTGGAGCTATATGTACTGGCCAAGCCATGTATACCGTGTTAAGACAAAATAATTATCCATATACTGTTGCAGAAATATTGCCGAGATATTCATTAAAATGTTTTTATATTTTCGGGATATAGTCGGCAATGATATAGCCATATTTCATTAAAAGTGTAGCCCAGGGCTCCTTTAAGGCCTTATATTAGCTTTTTATACAGATATGGAAACAGAATAGGTCCCAAATAACTTGTTTTACTGAAGGTAAATGACTAAAAATAATAAAAATAAATGAATAAATGACTCAAAGATAACAGAACCATCAAAACCCATAAACTAAATACCTACATGCTAACTGTACTAAGATATTACCCGCAATTATTAAATGTATATATATATATATATATCTAAAATACTAATGAAGTACATGTAAACAGCAGTCTGTAATGAAGTTTCTACACATAATTAACGGTAATTCAAGCCGGGGTTAAAGATTCACGTAGATGTTAATCGTGGCTTGGTTTTTAAGACTGAATAGCAATGCTGAGTTGAACATGGTGAAACCAGAGATCGTGGAATATTTTAGCATTTGTTGGGCTCATGTCGATGACTTCTCTTAATGCACACGCAATTGGCTTTGTTTCTTACTCGTTAATTTTTTAATAGCGGGCTGTCCCGGCTTCGCACGACTGGACATTTATTTGTTTTAATATTTTTGAAACAATACTAGGTACGTTAACGTTACCTCAAAGTATTAGTAAAATATGTATTTCTATTTTATGTTCAATAATAATACATGATATAGAAAAAAACTGATTTATAATGTTCATTTCTATTCAAATTGGTCAAAAAGCTTCCATAATTTGTTTAATTACTTAAGATACATTTTAATGCAATCAGATTCTCAAGATTATGTACCATGAGAAATCAAGTTACGAAATCGCGAAAGTAAATATTCAGAATTAGGTTTTTTACATAATCTTAAATACCGTGTAAATTGGGTCGCTTTAATGCCTAGTTGCGATTTAAGCTTTATTAAGTAAGCCATTGCTTTAAAACTTAAAATACAAAGTATGAGAATTATGTTCTACTTATTAAACCATGGTCCGACAGCCAACGAAATTATAGTGTTATAAGCCATCATAATTATTTAATGATGGTAATTAAAATTAAAGCTAAGACGATGTGTCTTCGTGAAGCTACGTACATACTGGAAATAATGCATTATGTTGTCACATAATGAATCCTTCTGATCTCGGCAAGTCGTGAGAAGATATGACAAAAACTCTAAAGAAAAATGTAAACATTATACGTATTCTTTTATTTGGATATCTTACTCCAAGGCTAAATAAATTACGCAAGTTACGAAATACTTTTTTAACATAATGTTATTCTTGTTTACAGATAATATGGTCTGCATTGGCAGTAGTTTTCATCCTGAGCGTAGAAGTGAGAGGGCATGGTAGACTAATAGAACCTCCTTCACGCGCTTCTGCTTGGCGATTCGGTTTCGATACACCACACAATTACAATGACCACGAACTCTACTGCGGGGGCTTCACCAGACAATGGAACAGGAACAATGGTAAATGCGGAGTCTGTGGTGACGCTTGGGATGCGCCTAAACCACGTGCGCACGAACTAGGAGGGCGCTTTGGCCAAGGTGTCATTGTCCGCAAATACGCTCCCAGAGACGTCATCATTATTAAAATCGAATTAACCGCAAGTCATAACGGATTCTTTGAGTTTCGCGTTTGCGAAGACCCTCGAGGTGAACAAGATTGCTTAGACAAACATGTGCTTTTACTCGACGGGAGACATGACTCAAAGTACTACCCCAGGGAAGGTAACAAAATTTACGAAATGAAGTACCAGTTGCCAGAAGGCTTGGAATGTTCACATTGCATCCTGCAATGGAGGTATATTGCTGGTAACAATTGGGGTACATGTGCAAATGGTACAGGAGCAGTTGGGTGCGGTCCCCAAGAAGAATTTAGAGCATGTGCAGATATTGCTATCGGCGATAAATTCACCACAACGACGAAGCGGCCGAGGCCCACTTATGTGCCACCCAGCAGACGCCCCACTACGCCAATCCCAGAAGAAACATCTGGAAGCGCTTGGTACGGCGTCGTTGTCGCAATTATCACGTTGCTCATCGCTCTCGTATTGCTGGCGGGAGTCTACTTGTACTTCTATGGAGGTGGTGTGAGAATAAAGAGCTTGTTAAAATCCAAAGCTGCCCCTCCCGCACCTGTTCCACCTCCAAGACACAAAAAGTTGTCGTTATCTAGAGAAAATCCGCCGATAATCTCATCGCCTAAATTAATATCGGAGTCAGGATTTGAAACTGTGGATTTACGGAAGTAAAAGAGGCTGATTTGCAACTACCACTGCCGTTACTAGTGATAAGCGAACATTTTTTATGGGTCGGTTATTATTTTTAAAATTATACTCATTTTTGAATCCAAAACTTTTTGTCATAGAATTTATAAATTATTTTTTGGTATTACTACACCGTACCAGATTTAATGTTCGCTAATGTTAAGTTAAGTTATGTAAAAACTTGTGATTGATTTGTTTAGTGGTTATATATTTTTAAAACTTTCGCGGCAATATTTAAACATTTACCTATTTATTCGTAGACTTAGTAGGTTGTGTTTGGTTCTTAATACGCAAATGATAACATTGAATACATAAAAATAATGTATAAAGACAGTACTTATTTATTTTTTCTAAGCATAAGTTATTTAGCTCGAAAGTTTTAATTTTATGTAAGTGAGTGCGCGGATGAATTATTTTAGGTTAAGTATGACCTGTTTTTAGTATTTATGAAAATAAACGAAAGATTTATGTGGTTGTATTATTTAAATGCTTCTATAGTTAGATTTTATAAATGTAGCATATTTGAAGAGAATATTATATGTTTATTTTAAAAGGGCACAGAAACAATTTTATATTATTACATGATACATCTTAAGAACAAAACTAAAAAACGTGAAAAAGTAAGAAAGTACAGCAATAAACTACTTTTTTCCTCTAAACAGAATAGGGCTTATAGCCCAAATTCACACATATTTTGTGCATAAGTCATAATTAACCATTCTCGATTTTACTTAAATTCTAAACGTGGTAAGAAACTAACAAATTAAGAAATAATTATCTTTCATCGGTAAGTTTATATAATTGTGTGTTTATGATAATGTTATTGCAATAAATTAGAAATTCTATAGTACCTAATAAAAAATTTATTGCTGATATTTTAGAAGCTAGAATTTTGTAAAACTTGCTAAAGTTTGACAAATTATTAACAGTGCAAACCACTCCTACCAAATAAATCAAAACAATATATGAGTTAGATACTAATAATTTCCTTTTTTCTATTTAGTGAAATAAATTAATATTAGCAGCTTTTTTAGCCAAATAGTCTGAAACAATGAAAGTATTATAGTAATGAAGTCTTTAGTCTACACTTTACTGTGTGGTATGGCATAATTTGCCATACCACACATAATATATTTTAATCAATGACCGAATAATATTAATAATAATAACAATGATAATAACAATGAGATGAAACGATTCTTATTTTTTATTTCTTAACTTTTCTTTCTTCGAATTCAGTTTTTCTTAACGTTTCTTGGCAGACAATTTTTTTTGCGTTTTCGTCATTTTCTTTTCATATATTATTTTTAAAGCTTTTTGTATTTTTTTATCTGTTCTGTTACAGTTAAAAGAGACAGAATTAAAATAAATTGCTTCAATGTCTCCTTCTTTTCCTTCTAACACAATATTATTAAATGTCATTGGGATAAGCTTCTTATATTTCGTCGAAGGCCTGGATCGTTTTGTTGTTGCTGATATTTTTGAAATCGTACATATTAACGTTAAATGATTTGATCATACCGTCAGAAGGTACAAATTTGACACATGAAATTATTGTTTTTCCATATTTAAGCCAGGCCCAAAAATCCCCCTCGACGTCTGAATAACCCTAAATTTGGGGGGGAAAACCCCCATGTTGGCATCACTGTCTCAGACGCCCATATGTTGCCTGAATCTGCCACAACGCCGCGCCACTAGCGAGTAGCGTTATCCAAGAGGCCTATTCCATGGAAAAAATTGTCTATATTATTATTTTCGTTATATTATTAAAATTCTATAAATAACCAATTAAAAAAATCATTTGCGTGGCGTTAATAAAAATGTAACCTATTTCTTAATTTGTTATTTATGCGCAGATTCTATGCTAGATAGTTCTCGTTCTAGGATAAATAAAATTGATATGTCAGTGTCACTTCTCTAAACAGTAATTTTTGAAAATCCCAAATGTCAATTGTCTTTAATAATTTAATATCGTAGTCCGTAGACAATCTCAAAACAAACGTGCTTGAAAATCGAAAAGATAAATGACCGAAGGATAAAATTAATAAAATACAAGCATAAAGAAATAAACCATGGCTGTGCGGCCGCAGCGAATACAGGATGCTGTTGTGGAACGCCGTTTGCGCCCAATTTACGGTAATATCGTACCTTCATCGATTTCTCTTAATTTTCACCGGGTAATAATTAAATTTTATTTTTACTCTTAGATTGGTTAGACAATGGCAATAATAAAAAAGCATTGCAAGAAGCGGAGAAAGTGCTTAAAAAGAGCCCAACATTGCAGGCAGCCCGTGCATTGAAAGCCCTCGCGTTGTTAAGGTTAGGAAAAGCTTCGGAATCCCATGCAGTGCTTGACGCTCTTGTAGAGGAGAAGCCAAGTGATGATACGACCTTACAAGCCATGACAATTTCGTATCGGGAGTCCCAACAATGTAAGAACTCGTAATTTTTCAAGAAATCTTTCTTTCATTAACAGTTATTGTATCCATCATTCTGTGACGATTAAATTATTACTACTAATTTTTAAAGAATGGAAATGTAGATTTCCTTTATATAGATATTTACTTTCATAGAAATAGAAAAGAATATAATTATAATCTTGTAAACCCTACATTATTTATATATACAAATAACTTTTTCTCCCACTCAATATGCCAAATATTTCTAACTTTTATTCTACTCATTTTACTTTTCTAGTACACAAAGTATGTGAGATCTATGAAGCTGCAGTGAAGGTAGACCCTTCAAACGAGGAGCTTTATTCACACCTATTTATGTCTTATGTTAGAGTTGGAGATCACAAATCGCAGCAGCGGGCTGCCATGGCCTTATATAAGTTATTACCTAAAAATCCTTATTTCTTTTGGGCTGTGATGAGTATTGTTTTACAAGTAAGTCATCTGTGATAGTGTATTTACATTGATAACTAAATTCCATCAACACAAATACAATCAAATTTGACAATTTGTGATTTGCAATGTAATATTTTAATGTTAAATCCTTATATCCTTTCTAATTTACTGTCCATTTATATAAATAAAAATAGATGTGTAATATATAAAGTTTTGAAGAGGTATATCACTGATTATACTTTTAGGCCAAAACAGCTGATGATAGTACAAAAAGGGGTATACTTCTTTCTTTGGCTCAAAAATTGGTTGAAAACTTTATAACTGACAATAAAATGGAGGCAGAGCAAGAGGCCCGGCTGTACATCATGATACTAGAGCTGCAGGAGAAATGGGAGGATATACTAAAATTTATAGAATGCCCTCTTTATGCTCAATTAGTCCCTGCATCAACAACTCAGGCCTGCATACCATATTATAAAAAAATTGGGGAATGGAAAAAGTTAAATTTATTATGCAAAGACCTGCTGTGGGATAATCAAGATCGATGGGATTTCTACATGCCATATTTTGATTCCGTCTTTCAGTTGATGAATAAACCAGATAGTGATAACTCAGTTGATGATTCACCAGAAAAGTGTCATGAGTTTATTTGTTCTATAGTTGAAAATTCATCTGGTCGTGCATTGAGAGGACCTTATTTAGCTAGGTTAGAGTTATGGAAGCGCCTTGCAAAAGATGGTGACCCTACTTTGCTCCTAGGTAGTGGAGTGGCCTTATGTGTTCAATATTTACGGGTTTTTGCTAATAAACCGTGTGCTGTGCCTGATTTAAAACCTTATTTATCAATGTTACCTCAGAAAGAGAGGGAAGACCATAGCAGAGATTTTTTGACTTGCCTTGGATTTGATGAAAACAGTGAACCTGATTCTGTAAGTTCCCCAAAGTATCATTTACTTATTTAAAGGAAGTTTGGTACATAAATATTATATAGAGAATAGGATGGTTAATATAGTGTCTGAGTAGATGCTAACTAAATCTTAAAGAAAATTATTTTTGTTTGTTCCACATAAACAATTAAAATTGGATTAATTTGAATTCCAACATTAAATTTCTCGGAATTATATAATGAACAATTATACTCTATTTGTACCGTAATTGAACTTTGTGTTTAATTATAATTTTTTATTGTTTTGAACCAATACAACCTGTATTTACTATAAAAAATATACTTAATACACTTGGCTTCTTTACAAAATATTTTCTTTCCAGATAAAAGATATTCAACGCCACATATCGTGCCTTTTAGCTTGGAGACTAACTGCTCCTATGGGGTCTGCAGAGGAGAACCTCAATGTGGCTGAAATGCTGAGACGGCACTACCTTCGATCACTCCAACGAGGGCTGGTTACCTCAACTGCTACTGAATTCTGTGCTACTGATAGCTATGGCATATTGGCAGCTCATCACTTTTTCTATGCTGGTAAGTTAACTATATAGTTCTGTTTTTAACCATTAGTTTTTATTTAAATAAAGAAAAAATGTATTTTGCTACAAGTACCATTTTAAAGAAAATACCTTTAGCAAAAGTTTTTATAAAATAAATTCGAATTTTTATTTAATAAAATTGCGAAGCTTGGGCCTTTAACTTGACTCAAGATTTGCAGATAATTGTGTTATATGTAATTTCTTTTTAATTTTAGCTGTGGAACAGGAAAACTCAACTCCAATTATTGAAGCCTTGAACCTCCTGGAGCTGGTACTGCATCATTCCCCAGCCAATTTCCATGCTAAACTGCTGCTCATATCTCTTTACCATATATTAGGTGAGTTTCTGAAGACTACTTTTTGTTGCTTGTGTATAATAAATTACCTATAATAGGAGTAAACATATTTTATTATTTTAAACATATTTCATTCTCTATACGAAATATGAGCTCAGAAATCTTGAACACAACAGTTGGTACTAATATTTTTGATAGGCCTGGATAAAAACCAATTTATTGAATTTAATTGATTGTCAAATTTTAACTTTTTTCTTCAGTCCTCTAAGCTGTAAAAAAAACGAAATATATTTTTCCTGTAAAATGCCAAAATATAATACCTGAAGTGAACATTAGGTCACAGATACTATCTAATTAATGATTATAGGTAATGCAACAGCAGCTGATTCGATATACACCAAGCTGGAAGTGAAACACATACAGTTGGTGTCTTTGGGATGGCTCCACGCAGCGAGACTTGCGCCTGCGCTGGCGTCGCCACGCGCTTTACGATTACTGGCTGATACTACTACGTTTCATAAGCATCACGCTAAGGATGTAATAAAATTATTTTGATAGAGTCAGACGAGTATCAAACTCTAACGATTGCATAAACTTGATTGAAATCGTTGTTCTACACATTATAAAGGGCGCTGTAACATTTATCATACAATTATTATATACATATTTGTAAAACTCACGGTAGACACGGTCGAACCTTGAATATAATGCAATTATTTTTTCAGTTTGGATGTCAGAAAATTCTTATCACAAGAATCAATGCATCAGAAAAATGTCAACTTTTATTAGTTTTTTGTAATTTAAAATACCTTAAAAAAAATTAAGTACTCTATCGCCTCCTGTTAATTTGTGTTATACTGAGATGAAAATATACAGATACTTCAGTTAAAAATGTATATTTAAATTAATTTGAACCAGCTTAAAAGATACAGTAAGCTTGTTAACGGTCCCTTTAAAACTGTTTAAAAAGTTTTAAAGTTACACTTTAAAAAAGGGATGCAAAAATTTAATGTGTATCTAGATGACATAGATTGTTTTTTTTATGTAAGTCAACTATTTGAAACACATTAACACGATTTAATTTATTTCAGAGCGTCGAACAAGTAACGTACGCATACAAATTTGGTACGTTCGAAAAAGTATTAGAAGTATGGGAGTGGGGGGGACGTATCGAGTCGTGTGCTTGGTGCGGCGCGTGCGCAAGAGAACGGCAGTTGCTGGCGCTACTTGCAGGACCGTCGCAAGCGCCGCAACATACTGTCAAATTGCCATTTACGCCTACGTAAGTATTATACGTATAATTTTACGACTATATTTTTCCATCTGATAGCGTCGTCTTCCACCTTTTTCTTATAGGCCAGTATGTATTTAAAAGAAAAAAACCTTTATAATTCTTCAAAGCGTCAACACGTAGCACTGAAGCTTTGTATTAGTAAGAATTTAAAAAATACACGTATAATTTACACAAACATAAATCAATATCTTTCCTTTTTTTATTATTTGTGTAGGTTAGTGATAATATTACATGTATGTTGTATTTAGTCGTTTCATGTTCATAGACTGATTTAGATGTCCCTTGACTGTGACAGTGAAGTTAGTGTTGCTGTCAAATTATAAATAAACGTTTTAGGGTCGATTCGACCAAACTTCAATTTATACACGAGTAACTATACCAGGAATAATCTATTCCATGATTTTAATCTCGAGTAAATCTATAGTCGTTTCTCCACGTAATCGATAGTATAATTGCGCTAGGAATAACAATACGCGAATAGCAAAGAGAATGGTGAACGAAAATAAAACTCGGCAAATAAATGTTGTTCTACAACGGGACAGTTTAAGAGGATACATCATGTCAACTCGATTTTGCCGTATAATAGTGTGAAAAAGTAACTTTTAGGCAGGTGTCAACGACAACAAAAAGTTTTTATTTGTTGTTTGTTTGAGGCTGTCGTCTAAAAAGGAACTTCTGTTGAGCCTAGTTGAATTTCATTATAATATTATAGAAAATAAAAAAACTAAAAATAAATAAATAAATAATTGTTTAAACGTTTCATTATACAATGCCAGACTATTAATTTAGTGCGTTGCGTTGACTTGAAATTAAAACACAGAATACATATTTGTGAAATGACAGAAGTCAGATGATTGGACTGATTGACGCCATTAAATTATTCTAGGAATAGCTGTTATTCCGTGCGAAACGGCGGTATAGTAATAATCCCCGAATAGGCCCACTATTCTTAGAATTTGTAGATGGTAAAACTTAAAATTGATTTACTCTCGATTAATTGACGATTTATTCTAAGATTACGATTTACTCTTGTTTGGTCGAATCCACCCTAAAACCATTAAAAGTAGATATAAGTAAATATTTAAAAGTACTTTTATAAAGCATCGCTTTTTTAATCTTGGTAGTAGCGTTTTATAATTTGAAATTATTTTAATTAAGTAAAGCTAAATAAAATATTCACAGCGACAACCGCGATCTGAATGCAATTGTGAGCTGGTCGTCTACAGACAACGATCGCGCAGCGTATAAAGAGCGCTCCTTCGAAAAGGACGTTGCGTACTTGCGGCTTAAAGACGGGTTGCTCTCCGCAATAGGTATTATAATATTATATTAAGATATTCCTTATTCATAAAAAAATATAAGATTTTTGCTTTTTTTTTAAATATATAAAGACTTTGATATCTATTAATTTCCGTGAGTATTGTTCAACTGTTTCAAAGCATTCGAAACTTCGAGTATAATAATCTCCTTTTAACTTTTTTAATAAAATTATTGTTTTCCAGTGTTATGTATAGAATGCGCAGATAATAGGAGTGTAGAAATGAAGAGTAGTCAATTGGAACAGCTCCGAGCTTGTATTGATGCGTTTGGGTCCGCGCTTGACCGTTGCCAGCGTTTGTATGGCGAGCGAGAGAATCTTAATGTGACCGCGCCTTTGCCTTCTAGAATTATTGGTAAGATATTTTAGTAATAAAAATTATAGTATTAAATTTAGCATTAATAATAGTTTATTTTGTAATAGGTGCATATACCATGCATATGAATGTACTGTGTTTTTTTAGATAATTTTCTGCGTGAGAGTCTATGAATAGAGTCTCATGAATAAATATCGTTAAGGATAAAATTGATTATTATTTAAATATTTATTGGGTAATTGGATAGGTTTCTCTTTTTATCAAGGCATTAATCAATACAGAGCGGTTATATACATATATTCACAATATAAATATTATTAAAAATGTAATCAGAATTGAAATCTTGAATTAATATTTCATATTCTAAACTAATCTAAAAATCCCCAAAATTATGTAGGCTATGGTGATACCATGATGCAATGTGATACCTCTATATATTATTTTATTTTGAATATTTAATACATATATATATATAGCCAGATTTGTAACAGATTATCGTTTCTATAAACCAACTATATAATGTTTTGAAACTAAGGATTTGCATTTTGACTCGAGGTGGCGATACTAATCATATCAAAAAAATTATAAATATTGTTATGTTAAAAATAATTCTAAGGTTCCATTTTAATTATTAGCAAAAATATTCTAGCTTCACTCATAAATTATTTCCTTTCCTTACAGCCTTCGTAACATCACCGGTGCCATATCGGGAGTTATATACAAACACTTTACGAATGGTTTGCGAGCTCTGCGCCGGTTCGTCAAACGCGCAAACATTTGCCGAACCCGTTCGCACAACGCTTGTGAAATCGCGTGAACATTTGGCTGCGTACGCGTTACCAACGCTTTGGCAGAATAGGGACGCTTTGGAGTTCTTCTCAAATTATTTAGAAGTAAGTCAACTAATACGTAGATAGTTAAATATCAAGAATTAATAATTTAAGAAGTCTATGTAAACATTTTCTTATATTTTAATACTTTCTAATATAAAATGCAATAAGTTAACAGGATAACGACGAGTTACTTGTCTTAAAAATTGCTTTCATGCTGAGTCATCAAAATTGATTCAGAGTTTTAAAGCCAAAATAACCAAAGACAATTTAAGATGTATAATCTAAAACCAGCGTTAAATTTATTTTAATTTTCAGTTCATAGGCGTAATAACATACCTCTTGGGCGTATGCAACGAACATCTTGCTCCTGCGCATGCTAAGAGAAACAAGAAAAAGGCGAGTCAATCGCCTGAACAAATTCAAATTATAGAAATTCTTAGTAAATTAAACGATGACGTCCAAGAAACTATAGCTATTCTAGAAGATATCTTCGAAAATTGGCCGAAATTTGACTATCAATCCTCTTTAGAAGCCGAATTAGAAAAATTAACGATTTCAAAATATCAAACTCCGGTTGAACAGAAATTGAAAAATGGACTAGATGACGTTCTCGCGGATGTCAAAAATATATTAAAGAATAAAGCGAAATATTTAAAAAGTTTGCAATAGTGGCCTTATGTGTGTTTTTACTCAGGTAGTGCTAGAAGGGATGAGCTTCCGATTATTAATATCGATATTGTATTAATAAACTCTTTTAAAATGGTTTTAATGTTTAAATGGGAAAAAATAACTATCTTTCATTGTGTTCATCAAGTGATATTTATGTTACATAAGACAGTTGTGGGCCACTTTCGAGAGCATGTTTAAGTTGTCATAAGGTAACCAGAGAGCAAAAGTATCGATATTTATATCGCCATCCCAAGTCATGTTTTTGCATAAGTCCTCATACAAAGGTGTGAGCAGGACAAAAGTACAGCTTTAAGACAAGACGTGCATTTTGTTTCAATTGAATATTTATATAAATTAATAAAAACAATATTTATAGGTATACTTATAAAATATACATTTTATTAACACATTTCGTATCGTTTCCTTGTATTCTAATTTTAGTAAAACCATGTTCTACTACATAATACGTATAATGTCAAACGCGTATTCCATATCTTAATATAATATATAAATCACGTGTCACGTTGTTTGTCCGCGATGGACTTCTTAACTACTTAACCGATTTTAAATTAAATTTGCACACCGTGTGCAGTTTGATCCAACTTAAAAGATAGGATAGCTTACATCTTAATTTATAGCCGCAATATTATTTTATTGCAAAATATTTGTTTATTATTTGATAGTCACAATACAGATGGCGCTGTGTTGAAAGTACTAACGTTTCGCATAAGCTACAATTTAATGGCATATCTACCAAAAAAGCATGGTGGTCCCCATGACTGGTGTTCTCCTACCGTTTCCCTTGAATAGGTTACTACTATGTAATATAACTAAAACCTTAGCCACAGCAACGCTTGGCCGGTCTGCTAGTGTGTTTATAAAGTTCAACAACTCTTTATGCTCGATTACGAGTACATATCATGAGTTAGCCTGAGATAAACATTTCGACAACTATTCAATCAGCAAGGTCATAAAAAAATTACGCCTATGTCCTTAAGCACTTGTACATTAGTTTATTAGTGTCTTTTATTAGAGCTTTTAATTTCACGTTTTAAAATGAATACCTTTGATCAATACTCGCATCTCGTTCGGGTCAACTTTATTTATTAAACTACATATTTTTTTTTATAGAACAGGGGGCAAACGTGCAGGAGGCTCACCTGATGTTAAGTGATACCGCCGCCCATGAACACTCCCAATGCCAGAGGGCTCGCGAGTGCGTTGCCGGCCTTTCAATTATTGGTACGCTCTTTTCTTGAAGGACCCTAAGTCGATTTGGTTCGGAAATACTTCAGTGGGCAGCTGGTGCACAAAGTGGTGGTGCGCGGCAAAAACTGCCTTGAAAAACGCTCAGTTGTGGAACGGCTGACGTCGAGGTGATACGGGTGGAATTTCGTACTCTGCCTCGACGTCCGATGACGAAACTCAGCTGCAGGTATTAATCCGAACAACTCCTCTGGACACTCTCCATGGTAAATGCGGTAGAAGATGCATCACATAATGCATTATGTTACAATCAATCTATTCAAAAATACATCACAATTACGGTGTATATAGATAATAAAAATATTACACTTCTAACTACAAATCTTAGTAATTTAAATTATTTAGACTTAATTACACTTCCAAGAATTGAAATACAATTACGTGATGCAATAGCCAGACTTATCGCTACCAAGCGATCTCTTCCAGGCTACCATAATTTAAAAAAAAATGATAAAATAAGAATTTCAAGAAGCTCCAAGGCTGCGAAACAGTAAGTAATACAAAAATATATAAATATTACGTAAAAAAAAATATGTTTCTTTCTTCATATCTGTTGCTCACATACTAGGAACTATAATACTTACTCCACCAATAGTATTTTGGTTCAATTTAGTAATTTAATTTTTCATTGCGGGCTATTAATAGTTTTAGGACGATAAAAAAAAACACAATTACTGACAATATTTATTTACAACTGCAAACATGGAATTTCACAGTACAAAAATATTCATTGCAATCAGTCAAAAGGCTAATATAAAACAGTCTGAAAATACGGAATGCGTTGTAATATGGAATAACATCTAGACTGAAATGTATAAAGTGTATCCGCTTATCCTTCATATTGAATAAAAACGTAAAAATTAATGAGCTCATGACCAAATTCGAATCCTGGCATTAGCAACGTCTTGAATAAGTCTAAGTAGATATACTTTATTTTCAGCCTTATACAAAACAAAATGATCGCTGCCATGTCACAGATTAAACTTTACTACTACAAAAAGTTTTATGCCATTCCAATTCCACAGCGACCATCAAGTTTAGCCCAGTCAGTAGAATGAAACTTAATTTCCATATATGCATATATTTAACTAATTAAAGATTACACTTTATAAAAATAGGATTGGGAGTGCATAAGTTAGTTTACTATTGAACATTACATTTCGCTAAATGTTTGTGCCTTTAAACATTTTAATTTCATTAAGAGCTTCCACAGACACGTGTTGATTACATGTATGAGGAAATCCTTAACCAATAAAACTAATGATATAAGTATTAAGCTGCTATACAAGGCCAAACCTATATCATAACAGTAAATAAAAATCTTTCTACAAAAACACTACACACAAAAACAATAAAATCTCTGATATTATTGCACGGAACTTGCCCACTCGAAACAATATTATGCTGAACCTCCTGAGTCTTTATTCGATATTAAATATCTTAATAAATGTAAAGAAAAGATACAAAGGTACAGGTTATTAAGTAGAAACGTGAAATAAAACCAACCGCACCAAGCAAATAAATTAATTAAAAAAACATTATGCACCAAACTTAAATCATAGCCTACATTCGATTGTGCAGAGATTAACGACACTAAATGAAATTTCAATATTTTATTTTTTATTTAGGCACAAAACATATGAAAATTACTAAACTTTTTATATATAAATTAAAAACATGTAATGTTTAATCCCTACAAACAGATTTTATTAATCAATAAAGAAAATAGTACTTAAAAAATAAAATGTAAAAATTTCATTCAACAGTCAACACTGAAGATTTCCAAACTCATATCATCGAAAATATGAAAAGAAATCCATCCTTCCATGCATATATCTAAGAACACAACATTGTATATTATTTTTGTGCAAATTATTTTAAAATATACAGACAAAAAAGCATATTGCGAATCAAAATCCCTTTCCATAGATTATTATAAAATGTATGTATAAACGGGTGAAACTATAGTTATAAATAAGTTGGGCAAAAATAGAAATAAACGACAGAAGAAACTTTTGCTTGCAAAATGCATATCAAAAGTATAATTTATATTTTAGCTTTTATCAATCACGAAAACCTTGTGTGTGTGTGTGTGTGTAAAATAAACTATCAAAAGTACATATTTAAATAGAATCTCTGCAACCATAATTTAATGTTATGTTTCACCCATTAACACAATCATTAACCTAATTGTACTTTCATATACCTATATTTTTATATCAACACTTACGACTAATATGACAAAATAATGGTTATACAGGATGTTTCAAAGTCGTACACAAAATACCTTGTAAACATCCTATATTGGATATGTAATCAAATAACGACTTATCACATTTTATTATAATTTACACTTACTTGACAATGGAAGTGCTGCCAATACAAAAATTCACATAGAAACGTGAAGCAGAAACGTTCACTTGGAAATAATTGTTGATTAAACACGAATATTACAATCATAAAATTTAAAATACATTACAAAATCGATATAATTATATTATTCCGTTAAACTAATAATACAAAAATGATTCGAAACCTAAAAAGAGACATCATAAATTAAACATTGTGTGCACTACAAGTTAATGCCAAAACAGCACATTTAAAACCAGATTTAAAAAATATAGGAATGTGGGTCAGGCAATGATAATTCGACTCCTCTATCAACTTCACAGACGTTAATGAAAAATCCGCATTTAGTCCAAGACGAGTTTATGTTAAATGTGCTATTTTGCTAATTAATCTAACAGTTAATACTTTGAATGAGGCATATCGAGCTGAATAATACATTAAAACCATCACCACACATATATTGAAATAAATAAAAAATATTAAAATCATTTATAATTTGTTTTACTAACATTTTATTTGTAACAGTGTGTCCAAATAAAAATCTAATGAAAATGATGTTTTGTACGAAATATACAAATGTAAGAAATATGGAATAGAACATTAATTGAAAAATAATTCCGAAAGTTAATATACGAAAAGCGTAAGAAATTTATTATTAAATATACAGAAATGTATAAATTCGAAATCTCGAAAGCTTAAGATTACGTAAAAGAAAATATACATATACTTTTTTCACATCGGAATCATTCCGGCCATAGAGCATAGTTCTGACAGACGTCACCATAGATAATAATACAAAACTTCATATATACAAGTCAATTCGATTTGGTCCTCCCACGCACAATCACATAGTCCAAGCACCTTATAGTGTATGAAAGATGTCCCTGGCGTTATTCTTCGAATAACGCTTGTAGGAACACTCGCTGAATCAGCTACCACTGTAAATATTTAATAATTTATACATTAATAGGTATTATAAACACTTAAGTACGAAGTTAATTTAGCGTGGACGATGAATATAATTAAAATATTTCAGTTAAATAATATTACGACAATCTATGAATCTTGTATAAATATTATTTTTCTATCAAATTTCGTCGCATTGAAAATGAAAATGGAATTTTTTTTGTTATCCTTCCATATTTCAAAACAATTGAGCATAATCGTTACCGTTAATTTAAAAAATAAATAGGTCTAATTATATTTTTAAGTACCCTCTTTTTATCACAGCGTAAACAAACTTTTAAATATATAGAAAGAGACAAAAAAGTGCAATTTGACACATTTAGTAAATGACAGACACATAAATCAGATCAAAAAAGATTGGATTCAAAAGTCTTGTTTTGAATATGAGCCTAAAAGGAATAAATGATTAAACGAAACCGCGTAGTATCCTTACGACAAATATGATTTCATGAAATAAAATGGACGGCACTGGCTAAAATGAGTGTTTTTAACCTATATATAGAGATTTATTTGACGAAGAGAAAATAAGATTTAATAAAACGTGTAAATACATACAAAAACAATTATGAAATAAATATAGTTGACACTGGAAGAAACTTAGCTACTACAATTTTATATTTGTGGTAAATTTCAGAGAATTTCCGGCATTTTTATGTCATTTAAATTCGAAATAAAAATAGTATTCTAAAATACGGGAGACAAAGCGGAATCTGAGGCTTAAACTTTACCTTCTATTAGCCATGGCTCGGCGACGCGCGGTCTGCCTTTGGTGCTCGAACTCAAAGTCTTCCTCAGTTAGGTTAAGCCTTTGCATGTGGTACATGAGGTATTCCTCGCCAAGTACGCTGTCCGGGGGGTGACGAAGTACTTCCAGAGTCTCGCATAGGCCGTTCGCTCGTTTTCGGATCTTTGCGGGGCCTAGGGCTCCTGCTAAGACCACTAGTGATGCTTTGAACAAGACCTGGCACAAAGATATTTATTTATTTATTAACAGCTCAATGGCCAAACTTAGACTGAAAACAATTAAGATTTACAAAATTTACAGTACAGGGTAGCATTACCCTCTTATCCCCTCCAGGTACACTCTGAAACCACAGTATACCAACCCCATAAGCTTCCCAAACAGGTCGCTCTCCGGTGAAGAGTCGAGAAACCCATTAAGCAGTGAGAGGTGATTTGAAATCAAAATTCCAAAAAGCAATATTAATGCCATTTGGGCCTTAAAATAAGAATAAATACTGCTCTCGCGAAGACATAGAAGACGTGGTTGCTTACTAGGTAAATATTGAATGACATCAATTTAAGGAGAAACAAGGTAAACAGACCAACAGAACATAAAATTCAAACACTTAATTTTTAATAGTGAACATTTAAATCAGTTTTTCTTGGTTTCTCCTAATGCTAGAATCACTGGTTTTACTACATTTTAAGAAGATTCATACTACATTATTGTCAATTGACGATTTATGGATGATAAAGTTATTTTAATTTTTTTCTATACACCTTCAGACGTGAAATAGCGAACGAAAACATTGGCACGTGACTATCTTATTATGCCTTTAAACCCCCGCTGAACATTGAGGACCACGTCTAAGACCCAAAAATCTACAGCGCGTGTCAAGTTTAAAAGGCTGATAACCTCTTTGCCTATAAAAGAAGACAAAGGCCTAGGGTTGAAGCGTTTTTTTCCGTAGAGGTAACAAATTTGAAAACTTAACTCTTACCTTAACGCCCTCGCACAAAAAGCAGTCCCACACACGTAGCAAACTGTCCCATGGCAATGTGCGCGTTAGAGCGCAAAGAAACCATTCTGTGGCGTAAAGAACTGGCTCAACGCGATGTTTCACCAAGTGTCGGTGGACAGCCGGTGCTGTCCGACGGAGTAATGCGTGGAGGATATCACCATCGCGTTGGAGCACCTTTTAATATGAGATTTATGTTTGAAATCCAAATACTAAAAGTAGGTTAATATTATAAAAATAAAATTATTTGTATGTGCTCAAAAACCAAAATTAATACAATATTTTTATCACTTATAGGATCGTTTGTTAACGTAAGGAGATTTATATATTAATGAACATATTTATATAGAAAAATAATTCATCAAACATACATTAAATTGTCCTTCCGTTGAATCTTCCTTGAAATACACACATATGAGCATAATTTAAAAATATTTTCCTAGCAATTGTATGAACATTACATGAGCAAGTTATTAGACTATGATAAATCTTGTAGAGTATAACATAGCGCCTAAGATTATATATCTCACCTACTTACTAACTATGAAAGTTTATAATTTACACTAACCTCCAAGCCAGGATTATAATATCCACTAAGGTATTTGTCACTAATGCTGACCAGGCACCAGAAGGCCTGTACGGAGGGCATGTGCATCAGAAGAAACGCGGCCACCGGCGCTTGCGCTTGGAAGTAGCCCACTTTAGGGTTTAATACTGAATACGCCTTCAGTACTGAGAATAACTCTTGCTGACTGAAATAGAAAAGAAACATCAAACATGAATAAAATAATAATTATTATTTCATATTACTTATATAATATATACCTTATATATATACCTTTTGATTGTATTTTAAATTTTTGTCTATTAATACTTTTATTTATTATTATTGTTATTTTTTCTTTAGACTTTACTTTATTTTAGTTATAATATATAATATTTTTTGCATTTCTTGTACTCTACCCTCTGTAGGTGATTCTTTTTCATTGTTCCACATTAGAGTTGCCTGGAAGAAATCGCTTGTTAGCGATAAGGCCGCCCGTTGCCTTATAACTTTTGTAACATGTTTTTTGTATTTTTGTTATGTGTATGTTTGTGAATAAGGTAATAAAGCATAAGTATAATATACAAAGGCGTAAAAATGATTTACCACTGTATATATAAAAGTATTAGTGAAATAAATGCAGATAAAAAGTTAACGCCTCTAACATAATGTTGTATAATAGACATACTAGATGGCGCTACAGCTTTTTAGGTTTGGGCTTCAAATTTCTGATTATTTAGTTTTCTTCTAATAGGCAAGTTCTCTCCCGCCGCAGAACACAGCAAATATTATTACACGACACGAAAAAATTATTATTATATTTTTAGCCCTGCATTATTAAATATCTATGAATCAATAGTAGATATATTTAACTCATGACGTGAGTTAAATATATATATATATATATTCGGTGGCGGATGTTCTAGGGTTGTTCAAATGTATGTTAAATGTAACTCTTTGTTTGAAGCTGGGTGTCAACTAGCTTTTATCGTTTAAAATATGAGCTTATAACATTGATATACAAAAAACCTACGTATTTTTTGTATATCAATGGCTTATAACTAACATAAATATCGGAGGTAATGGGGTTGCGACGCTAACAAAATACTGAATTAGCTTATTTAAAGGTTCTCAAATCTAAGTGGCACTTCCATACAAGTATAGTCGACCTTTTTGGACATTATCGGAAACAAGAAGGTTATATTACAATTTATGAAAGTGGGAAAAACTAAAGGGCTCATTTTGGCTTCATATATATTTAACTTAAGTAACGTTAGGTAACATAACTCGTGACTCAATTGATAGGTTGAGTGAAATTACGTCATCGATGTAATCCCCTGTATCCTGTTCCTGGAAGCCCCCGCAAGTATATTTAGCGTAATAACATAGTGTCATATCGATAAGTTTTATGTGTGTGAATCATATTATAATTATATACGTCAAATATTAGAACCCTTCAGTCAGTGCTATTTATTATATTCCATTCTATATAAAACATTTATGCATGGTGGCTATTACTTCTTTTCTATATGTCTATCGCTATTTTTATTTCGATGAATTTTGATGCCTCATTCCTATGAGACCGCGTTTTAAACAACTCTTCGTTCTCTTCTACACTCGTCTTTCATACCAAGTCACGGCTAAGAGCTAGCAGATAATATTGTATCGTTCTTGTTCTCTTTATTATGACTTAATTACATTTTTACCATGGTCATGTAATAAATAAATAATCAATATTTACTTAATTAAAACATATAAAAACTTTTTTAATGTTCTGGCAGTCATTTTTAGAAAACAAATTTTACGTACCAACAGGATAAACTACAATGAAAAAAGAATCACATATTTGCATCAACACATCAACAACATGTATGTAAGCAAATAAATTCAGAATATAAAAAATAGATCATGTCATAACAATTGTATCAGAAACCCGATTTGTTTACATAAGATTAATTTATGACGCATCGTTTATTAATATTGTAATCGAGTATTGAAGGCGCACGACTGACGACAGAGAGTTTTTGAGAGCCGTTTAATGAATCAAACTCTTTTACTAAGAAGATCCTTGTTTTTAAGAAACATAAAAAAACACACAGCTAATTTGTTTTTCAATTCGACAAAACTAATACGACTGTCGAGGAAGACATTAAAAGATCAACCGTGCGATACAAAATGAGACTTCAGCAGCACGTCAACCCCCTAGCTTCGGGCCTCTTGGAAACGACGTACAGTGTGAATCGGCTGAGAAGGGCGAAGCTTGCCGCAGTCTGACAGTTTACGAATTACGGAGGGAAAAAAATGATTGGATTTGAGTTCCCTAATTGCCATAATTTCTCATAAAATCTGATAAAAGCCAAGAGGCTGATTGCAGATGGATTAAAAATTATAAAAAAATACGACAATACTATATAAATTTTCCTTTTAAAGTGTAGCGTTATTCATTTTTTGTTCTAAAGTAAAAGGCGATATATTAAATGAAGTCAGGTGTGTTATCGCCCTAATGTACGCCGATTTCAGTCATTTTGTTCGTATGACTGCACAAAATGCAATAGAATTAACGTCAATAAATTACACCGTCTGATTGGGTCAACCAGACAACTGACCCTCATACATTTTGTAGATGATTTTAAACGCGAAAATTATTTACACACCTTACTCATTTATTATTCTACACATAAGTTGGTATTCTTTTTAACACTAAGTTACATCTCAAAAATTAATAAAACTGATTATAGCACAACTGAAATGGAAAACATTCTATTCGCGTGCTATGACATAGTATATATCAAGGAAACATTGGCAAGGCAAGACACAGTTTTGCATGCGAGATTACAATACACGCAATATTTCAAATTGAATCATTACCAATTGTAAGTAGCAATTACTTATGAGTTCATAAAATATGGGCCCCTCCAATCTTTTACGTAATACGTGAACGGCCCCTTAAATACACCGCCTATGTGATTAATCCTAGCGTGTTCTGTGGCAAAAAGAGCAAAAATGGCAGTCGTTTCAAAAAATTGAGTTTTTAACAGTTTAGGAACATGGCGTATAAGCTGAAGGTCCTGGATTTCGCGAAAATAATTATAGGGTTGGCAATTCACTAGATATTACCGACTATTACTTGACGTAAAAGAAACAATGAAACAAACGTGGAAATGTGTCTGCCATTCTCGGAATACGGGAATTTCATCATGTTCCATTGGTAACATAACGGCCACATAGTATCGTTCCGAGACATTGTGAAAGATAGTTTCTAGGAATTTTAAAAATAATTTAACGAACACGTATCCGTTGCTTTTCCCGGAATAGAATGAAAGAGTAAAAAACAAAATCTACGAACGGTTTGAAAGTTATCTTCCTTTTTAAAGATTTCTTTATAAGCATAAAGAAATCTTTAAAATTCTGGCGTCTAGGTAGGGCTACATAAGCATGTAGCCCTACCTAGACGCCAGAACACTCCCCAATTATTGCGTAATCTTATAATATCTTCCTAATATCACCATAATCCGGACTCACCCATGCCCCTCTTCCCGGATAAACATCTCGTGGTAGGGGAATTGTCGGTGCAGGTCTTTCCTGATATCCTCCATGCACTTGGGGTCCCCAGGCGCCTGGAGGAGTTCCTCGTATTCGTTCGGATGTTTTTCCAGCAGTAACTGACCTCCGCAGAGGTACAGCCAGGCTTTAGGGCGGACTGAGGCCGGAATACCTATAAAAGTATGAATCAATATGTAAGATTGATGGATTAAACAGAAATACTTATTATAGAAGTCAATGAAGGAAAGCATAATTTATTCGTAGGATAATAGTATGAGATATTACAGGCGAAAGACGCGTAACATATAATCGTTCCTATCCGTAAAAATAAAAAAATTGTCGCGAATATGGCGTGAAGTTATTAACTGTAACGATGTACTTTATATCTTTGCTATTTAAAATTGGGCAGGAAAAATATAAAATTGGCTGAAAAACAATGGTTTTGTCTATGCAAAGTTTCATAGACTAACCAGACTGAGAAAACCTAGTACAAATTGCCGTTTCCGTGTGTTCCGTGTTTTGCGTAGGTTATAAACTATGTGAAAATACTTTATAATTCCAGTATTCCCACGATGAAAGACATAAGGAGCGTTGCACAACTGTCGGTTATTTACATACTGGAATGAGCGTATAGCTAATTAACTTTATTAACCAGGGCATGATAATTAAGTTGAAAATTTTAATTGAGTCTCTGTGAATGCATTGTGACGTTTCATCAACTTTTTAGTGCAAGAATAATTGAAATAATTTTTATGCACTCTTATGTTTAGCCAGTCACAGTTTTTATTCTATATGGTCATGGCTTCAGGTTTTTGCATAGACTTCATAGTCGAAATATAGAATACATATTCACTTACATTGCATTGCAACACTTGATAAACCCGACATTTCTTACACCCAAAATTCAACGTGTACAAGCCTCTGAAGAAGCTTATGTCTATGAAGTCGATACACAAACATAAAACATCATAGAAGGAACAAATTGTGCACAGCCAGAGTTCTAACCCAGGCCCTGGATCTCCAGTTTAATCTTAAACAGTGCTCCTCAGTCTAGTACATTTGAAATACTTGTATGCTGAAATCTATCACTCGCAAAAGTAACGAACAGATTAGAAAATAATAAAACTCACCTTTCCGACACCTCTCTCGGACTTTCTTGTAGTTTTTGCTCATAAAAGCCTCCCAATTATTAAGCATGCGTAGCCATTTCTGTTCTCGCTTCAATATTGTACTCGGCGAAACAGTCCTTTTTCTGTAATAAATATAAAATCCCTAAGTATATATTTATTTAGAAAAAATATATAATCTACTTCTATCTTCCGCTATAGCAAGCGCAGACGTCGGACGATCTTAAAGTATTAAAGTGATATTAATGTCATACCAAGTTTATAGCTACTTCATCATAAGCTACCGGTTTAAGAACTCTCCCCTATGATTTTAATTACAGATTTGTAAACAAAACACTAACGTCAAGCACATTGAAGTCAAGGACAACAAGGAAGTTGTCGTCAGTATTTAAATAAAAACATTATTAATTAAAATATCCACTCGGACTTTCCTGTGTTGTGGGTGACCAGACAGAAATCGACACAACCATTCACATTCGCAATGATGTTAATAGCAGTAGGAATTTAAATTAGGAAATTCCAATATACTCTGTATTTCATATTGAATCAAAATATAAAAACATAATTAATAAGTTATCAAAAAATTGTTAGTTAAAAATATTGATTATTGACATGACATGACACAAAAGGGTTACAGGACCCAGATTAGTCGAATCGACGATGACGTACCATGACAGCAAGTAAGTATTTTGGAGTTTAATGTTTTAAATCATAAATAACATATGTGTATTTGTGTAATTTAAGAATGATATTTTCACTGGCATGATGCGTCATAGGGAATGGTGCGATGCCATATTGCCTAGAGCGTTTAGCGGGTTCTTAAAATTATGAAGGTTTCATTTGAATTTTGCAAGCCAATATTTAACAGAATTAAATATGTATAAAAATGTGTATATGCACTATAGCCACTAAAAAATAATCTGAAATAGTTTTTTTTAAACCTCATTGTGTTTACGCTGTGATAAAAAAAAACAAAATATATTATGATATCGGTGAGCCTAATTCATTAAAACACCTATGCAACGATTGCGATTGATATCTTATAACCCACAATGAAGGTGTGCCTAAAGCCGACCCATTTGTGGGTCTGTTTCGTTAATCACTTTTATTCGTTATCATTTCATCATAGCAAGGACATCATAGGCAAGTAGCCTTCTACGTTTTTCAACCGGAAACGAGAACTATTGCGAGTACGATCACCTCATCGAAACTAGCCAAAAAATATTTTTTTGTATAATGCCAAACTTTCCATTCTCGAATGATATTCTAAAGATTTAAGAAAAATGTAATACAATAAATATAAACTATAATTGCATTGCTTGTTGATAGGTTATAATATTATCGCCATAAATAAACACTGCGTCACTGTTTATCAATGAATCGATATATCGTGGGAAGGTAATCAATATAGGTCATTCATATTTCTATACGATAACAATTATTGTTCTATCATTGATTTAGTCATCAATCATCAATGCATGCACAATTATAGTACAAAAATCGTGCGGAAAAGTATAATATATTCAGAATCTGGACTAAGGGCCGGTTTTTTGATCCGTAGTTAACTCAACTATTGGTAAAAAATCGTTACTATTAGTTAAATATCAGCAAAATGCGTTTTTTGATCCGTGGTAAGAGCATCCAATGGTAAAATATCTAACCATTAGTCAAAAAAGTTAACTACTCAGTATCGGAGGGTTAAAAAGATGGCCGCTGGTAATTTATATACTAACAGCTGTTTGTCACAGAAATCAAACTATGATAAATACGTTTATTACTATCTAATGATGAATTTAAACATATTGAGATACTTTAATTAATGAGACGATGAAGAAGACGATAATATTATATGAGAATGTGTTAATGAGTGACCAAAAATATTTAGGCAATGTCATCCGCCATTAGAAACCTGGGATGATGTAGATTTTTGTCACTGTTACCCCCTATCGAAGGAACAGTGCTCTGGATTGTTACTGAAATTGGGAATGATCTTAAACTGCCAATGAACAAGAGTATATATAGACAGCAGCTCATACCAACCTATTTTGCTTCATTACTAACTACAGAACCGCAGCAGTATATAATTAAGTATATTACTAATTCATTATGTGTTTTATTGCCTATAATATTAACTTATAATTATTATAATTAAATAAAATACAAGAACAAGAGTATATATAGACAGCAGCTCATACAAACCTATTTTGCTTCATTACTAGCTACAGAACCGCAGCAGTATATAATTAAGTATATTACTAATTCATTATGTGTTTTATTGCCTATAATATTAACTTATAATTATTATAAGTTAATATTATAGGCAATAGAATACATAATGAATTAGAGTTAATATTATTTATATATTACTAATAATATTAACTTATAATTATTATAAGTACATACAAGTATGTACTTATACTAAAAACTACAGCTACACATTAGTTAGGGACCTATGATATTCTTTAGGGCTTTTATTACATTTGTGAGTTAGCATCTATCTACTTTATTACAAGAATTTATAAATAAAACATTTGACTTGATTAATAAACTGTTTAATTATAACTTAAATACAAACCATTTTTATTAAAAAAACATTACAAAATTTACATGAAACCCTAAAGTAGCAATTAAATATTTTCTAATTGTTTCTTCTTGCATTTCACCTCAATTTGATGCAACTCTTTTGCTGCTACATATATTTATTGTGCCTTTCTTCCATCTGCTGCATCACTTTTTGGTGCACCTCCTCTTTATGCAGTATGAATTTTTATTGGGCCTCTCATTGGTGCAGCAAATGTTTTTGATGCTCTTCTTAAGCATAATTGAACAAATCATCCTCTCTTATTTGTCTTTGTTTCTAAACTCAATTTTTTTTTATCCGTGTGGATCATAATCCGCTTCCTTGTTTCCAAAGGGTTAAAAGATTTTTTCCTTTTGTTGTAGGACACAGCTATACAAGAATAAATATAAAAATGTGCCTACACCTTCATTAAATGTATATTAAATTTAACACTTCGGTGTCTAGACCCATCTGAGTTGAAAACGTCACAGAGATTTCCAAGCTGCATCTTTTTGTAGATTGCTGCAGTGATCAGTTGTTTGCAGGTTACGACTGTGTAATCCTTGAGAAGCATCACCAGTTTGGCAGTTTCTTTTTTGGCGAAGTTAGCAGTATGGTCCCTTTAACAAAACATAAATGTATTACTTTCTATTACGAAACACAAGATAAACCGGAATAAATAACACGAAAATATGTTTGAACTTACTTATTTGACCGTTGGCTGTTTGCGGACATCGTTATTTATATATTTAAGTATCGTAAAAAGTGTAAACCGTATTAAATCACAGAAAAACAACTTTATTTATATCGTGTTATTTAGATTAATTTGACACTTCAAACTCTTCAAAGCGCAAATAACGAATGAAGATGGCAAAAATGGATTTCATTCACTCAATATGTCTAGTGTTGTCATACAAAATAAATGATCCCCACAAAAAAGAACCACATTTTTTGGGATGTCATTGCTCATTGCACTGGCAACAAATTGACAAATTGTTAACTTTAACTATAGTTAAAAAGGCATTGAAAAACGCATTTACGATTTTACCAATGGTTATTCATTTAACTATAGTTAATGTAACAAATGGTAAAACCATTTTTTACTACGGATCAAAAAACTGGCCCTAAGTGGTCTCATATGTCAAAAACGTAATAGATAAGGGAGTCTTATTAGCGCTAAGTCTCCACTCTGAATATAACCTTAAGCCCTAAAATGTCAGCGTATATCAAACTCAGAATCTGATCATACAGATATCATCAAAGCCTGAAAATGTGACTTTCAAATAGGTTTTAAATTTTATGTTAAAAATAGTTTACACAATTATATGAAGTGTATTTAATTATGTACATACTTCAGAGACGCGGCTTCTATCATGATTTACATATCATTGACCTTCGTCAAATTAATAAATGACTCAAACTGAACAAACTTTGCAGAGCATTACAGTATTTATGGTAGTTCACTAAAGTAGTTTAAAATTATTGCGTAAACAATTATTTTTTAATATATCTACTGGGTTAAAAAGAGGACGTAGTGACAAGTTTACGAAAGGGAATGCCTAGGGGTTTTAGCTAGGTAGAACGGATGAATGAAAACCGGATATAAGTAGAATATGCTAAGCAACCGTGAATGGTGAAGTCGGGTTGGGTAGGCCTCATCGGACATACCTAGGCCAAATCCAAAAGGTACTAGAAAAGGGACACCTCAAAAGTTCCCCTAAGCATGCATTGTGAATGTCTTAAATGTGGATGAAGCCAGAGCCAGCAAATAAAATTAAGAATATAATAATAATGGCACTACTAATAGTAGTTAAAAATTACAACCTATAGTAATCAGACGAAGTCAACTGACGTTTACGGTGTTGTCAGTTTTTAATGAAATAAAAATAGTGTTGTAACAAAGTGAATGATTGCAAAAACTCCTGAATTAATGGTTGGTGATGGCACTAGTCACCACGCCCCGCTTTGTAATAAGCCGTCAAAAAACTGATTGTAGTTACATACTACTAGTACCTAACTTATATCAGAGCACTTATATATACAATTTTAAAATAGAAATAATATTATTTTATAGTTTGAAATGATTAACTATTCACACTCATTGTTCATTCATCTGATTAAACAAGAATTACAAGAGACACCTAACTGAACGTATCACTATTACTTTAAATATGGCAACATTATTTTACAAAGTGACATAAGCTACTGTCAGTTGGCTTCGTCTAATTAAAAATACGACTATAACTAAATATCATGCTTAGTTATCTCAATGAACATTTGAAACCAAATTTATAACATTACTATTTAACCAGTGTGCAGTACTGTATAAGACTTTACAATATTATCACAATATAAACTGATGGTAAATCTTATCTACTTTCGAATAAATACAATTAAATAATTAGAGCATGCATTTTCATTTCAAAAACAAGTGAAAGTAATTAAAATCTTTGCGTCTGCATTCAATTCATGATATTTCTCAGAATTTTATTACAACACGCGCTAGAAGCCATTGAATGGTATGGGAATGGTTTTTATAAGCAATGGAAAGTAAATATACTGCATTAATATGTTCTAAGCAGGCTTGTGTTAGTAAAATATATCTAATATACGTAGTCGGTCCCAAAGTTCTGTCATAAATGGAAATAATGATAAAAACAAAAGTACTGATCAGTTTGTAATGAGTGATATATCAATTCTTAGTACATTAATTAAGGAATAAAAAAAGCATAAAAATATTCGAAATAACCTCCCTCATTTTTAATACAGGCCCTTAAGCGTCGCGGCCAGTCGTCTATCGCAGCACGCACCATATTCGTGTCGATTTCAGTCACTGGTTTTTTTAAAGATGACTTCAGATTCTCCAAATTTTCATGAGGTTTATCACAGACCTTCCTCTCTAAGCCCTGTCATAATTTCTGGTCCAAAGGATTAAGGTCCGGACTGGAGGAAGGCCAATCCTCATGTCTAATTAAGACAATGTTTTGACGCTCAAACCAGGCTTTAGTGGTCTTGGCTTTGTATGCAGACGCAGAGTCCTGCTGGAACACGAAGTGATGTCCCGCAAATAGGGTGCTGGACATGTCTTTGACAAGGCGATACAAAACCGTCTCTTGGTACACTGTAGCACTGGTTTTGACCCCCTTTTCGAAAAAATTAACCTCAGTTAGCCCGTAATAGGACACTCCCAACCAAACCATTACTGATGATGGATGATGTCCATGTTGCACCCTTGGAACTTTATTTTCAGCTTCTTCAGAACTCCTAGCGTACACTGTATAATTCTGTTTATTGTACTTCTCTTCAATATCGAAAAATTTTTCGTCCGTAAAGAGGATATCACGGTGTCGGTTTTTAAACAACACCCGCGATCTCTTAAGCCTTATTGCTTTTAGACGAGCATTAAGTAAGTGCCCACTCTTTTTTTGTATGCTCGTAGACCAAGATCTTCATTTAAAACCTTTTTTACTGTTTTCCTACTGACACCCATCTGCAAATCCATCAACTTCTGTTTTCGGACAGGATTTCTTACTATCCGCGCCTTGATAACTTTGATTACTGCTGGTGTTCTTGCGGAGCGTGGCCAGCCAGTTCTTTTCTTGTCCTCAACACTGGAGGCTTCAAGGTACCTATCAATAGTAGGTACCGTACACAAACCTAAGCGTTATATTCAAATTTTTGAGCAACTTGAAAATGGTACTCGGCGAGTGTCCACAGCGGTGCAACGCAATAACAACTATTCGGTTTACTTTCAATGTCCACTCCATCGTGAAAAATTACGGAAAGTTATTGTTTTTTGTTTTAAAACAATAATCAAACATTCCAAAATAGAATGCAATAATTTTTTTATAAAATCCTGCTCGAAATGTAGAAATAATGTGCTAGTGACAGAACTTTGGGACCAACTACGTATAAAATTCTCGTGTCACAGTTTTTGTTGCCATACTCCTCCAAAACGGCTCGACCGATTCTCATGAAATTTTGTGTGCATATTGGGTATGTCTGAGAATCGGACAACATCTATTTTTCATCCCCCTAAATGTTAAGGGTAGTCCACCCCTAATTTTTATTTTAATTTTTAGATAATTTTATGATACAGCATTAAAAAATACATACAACCCCTAATTTTCACCCCTCTACGATCAACCCCTATTTTTTATCATAAATGATAAACATGGCAAAACGACGTTTGCCGGATCAGCTAGTATATTATATATATACTAGCTGACCAGCCAAGCGTTGTTGTGGCTAAGGTTTTTGTTATATTGCATAGTAGTAAACTATTCAAGGGAAACGGTAGGAGAACACCAGTCATAGGGACCACCATGCTTTTTTGATGGTTATGCCATTATGTGAAACGTTGGTACTTTCAACACAGCGTCATCTATTAGAAGTGAGACTATCAAATAATAAACAAATATTTTGCAATAAAATAATATTGCGGGTATAAATTGAGATGTAAGCTATCCTATCTTTTAAGTTAGATCAAACCGCACACGGTATGCAAATTTGATTGAAATCGGTTCAGTAGTTTAGGAGTCCATAGCGGACAAACAACGTGACACGTAATTTATATATATATTAAGATAAGATAATAAGTCTTTTGTGCCTTTCTCTCAAATTGTGTTGACGCTGTGATGTAAGACAGGTGATTTTAAAACGGTTCAATTGTTTAACTATTTATGGATAATCTTGTACACTTGGTACAGAACTACCGCCCTTGCCTACACCCGCATGGTATGTTGATCGCAAAAAGTCTATAATGGTGTACTAGTTAAAGTTATATTTATAAAAATGAACGATTTTCTGTTGAATCAATTCGTTTCCGATCAGTCGCTTTTAAGTGTTTTGACCATTTACTAAGCAGCTTCACAAATATTTTTTTGATACGTATTTTTATGAAGAATACCTCCCTTTTTGCAGGTTTTTAGTTGAACTTGTAAAAATGAGAGAAATATGGCATAGTAGTAAAGTTTTGAGTGAATCATTCAACCTATAATAATTTAAAACTTCAATAAAATAAGTCGATTATAATTTCCGCCGATTCTCATACAAAATCTAGATCATTCCACTACAAATTCCAACATGAAATATCTGCGAATATTGCAATAGTAGTTTCAAAATCGGAAGCGGCACTTGTAGCATTTTATAATTGTCAGTGACTTTTGAGTTACCGTAACTGTATAATGCAGGCAGAATCTGAGGCAATAAACTTTAAAAAAACAGTGGCCTTATTTCAGTTTTAGATGCCGATAGATAAAATACATTTACTCCCTATTAGATAATTTAAACGCTTGTATATTTATATATGTTTATAAATACGTAATGCTATTGTTCTGTATTAACACAACTTTACGCTGCAATATCATATTCACTACATTCAAATTTACCTTACTTCTTTATAAAAGTACGGAACTCCTTAAATATAGCTATACATTGTTTTCTCATTAATACTTCCAGAAAGAGAGACTTCAACAATAAAATCGATACCTATATACGAAAAATCACAATAGATACCTGCCTGTCGCTATCTGCTGGATGGGAGTTAATCTTAGTGATTTGAGATAAATATATTTTAATATGTTATAATAATCGAACACTAAATTAATGCTTATAATACGTTGATGTAATACGTCTTTGTCTTAAATAAAACCCTCATAGTAAGGGTGAGACTTCCACTTGCGAACAATGTGTAAGTGCTATTAGGCATCTAGAGATCGTGTACAAGTGTTGGAACACGGAGCTTTGTTTTTTCGGTCATATTTTACCTTATAGTCTTAGAGTCTAGACTCTAGAGTCTACGATAGGTATGCATCGTTGCTGAAGCGGCGCAGGGACTTCCTCAATTTCACTCGAGCCGCAGTTTTTTACTTTTGCATCGTAAATAACGTGTACCTAAATTGACCGAGTTATCTCATGTTTTTATGAAATACTAGATTGAATACGAAATAATTTTTTTAATAGATACTCACTAAAAATACCTATTAAACCAATAAAAAACGCGTTAAAATGCGTTAGCTTTTCACAAATAGGTTCCGAAACTCACAGTTTAAATTAGGTACGCAATACCGAGTTCAACGTACTTTAGATGATATTTCGTCGAGTTTCCTTCATGGATATTTGACTTGTGAATTCTAAAGCTTTTAAAGTATGCAATTTTTTTCGAATTGGACTTAAAGGGAACTCCAAATTTGAAAATGTACCTCGTGGAAAGTTCATAATATATAATAACATACCAAACAAAGTAGCATAGTAAACATGAGTACACAGGAAGAATTTGGTGTAGTAAATTAAATTTATTAATTACTAAATAGTCTTGAGACATAATTCTAATAATAAGATGATATCACTTAATATGCACAGATTTTAGTAGAGAGAGATATGGCCTAATTAGAAATCACTTAACTTTATTGCTATTTAGATAATTCTATCATGGAATAAGACTCTAATCTGTTGCTAATCTCTTACAATTTTTCTTAACAATTTATTAAAGTTTTGGGGTATTTAATACATCAAATTATACCAATTAAACCCACTTTTATAACAATATATCAAATTAAATGACGTGGAATAAGTGATACTTGTATCTTATATTCCATAATAAACATATTTTTTATACTTTAAAAGCCTCAGCTAGATTTATTAAATGTAATTTAGAAATTTGGGAAGAAAATGTAAATGTAAATGGACAGTAAAACTTCCCATAACATTACAGCAAATTTATAATGGATTGTACATAGAAGCTGCTGTATTGTTGCACAATTTGTTAAGTTCGCACAGTGAATTATTTATAACTAGACATATTTACTAACCTTATCTAGTGATTGAAGGTAACATTAGAACATGAGGTATAATTGCATTACATCCATAAAAGGACAGAGATAAACGGAATTTATAGAACATTAAAATACACTAAAAGAGCAGTTAGCTCAAAACAAAGATAATAAAGACAATGTCTCTAACTCTTAAAACTTCCAGATTCTAAATTAGGACAGATTTCTGTTCAATACATTAATTGTAGGTCAATATAATGTAGATTTAAACTCCTTACTCTTATCAGTGTAATATAATTTAAAGCATATTCTAATTTTTATTAAAAAATAATGCAGGTATAACCCCATGTAAAACATCACTTGTGTTATTAGACTAGAAAAACATGACAAAATGTTAAGTATGCTGATGATTTTAGAACAAGTACCATAATTATGCACATTATTAACAACATAACTTACGGTTCTGGACTATATTGTGCACCACCAAAGAATCCATGTCTATCTGGTTGCGTTGTGACAGAAGAGCATATTGATGTTGTATCTTGCTCACCACTAACACTTTTCAAACTCTTCTGTAGTGACATGTTTAGATCAACTTAACAGCTGTATCATCACTATTAACAACACCACCCAGGTACGACAGAGTGGGCGTGCGTAAAAAACAAGACAACTTATGATACTTAAGTTTTCGCACGAACAACACTCCGTTAATATACGTACTCAACACTTACACAAAACTAAAAAGGCAAAACGCGATTATAAAAAAAATGCATAAAATAACATTCTTCTATCTTAGCATTAAGAAATTAAAGCAAAATCCCACGAATTAAAAAACTAAAAACGCCAAAGCCTAAAAGATTACTATAGACAGTTGACAAACAACTTGGTTTATAATCAAAGAAAAATGTCAACTTCAAAATACTTATGTCATGTCGTTATTGTCACTTTTGACGGTGAAAAGACAATCACATCGAATTTTTGTAAATAATAATTATAAATTTTTTCTTAAAGTTAAAAATTTTGAGGTTAAACTTAGGAAAAACTAGACTTTTCACTTATTATATAGTTATGATTTAAATTCGTCCCTTTAGTATAGGAGATATATTATTTTGTCTTGAGAATAGAAGAAAAATATAGTAAATAATAAATTGCCGTTTCAAGTTTACTATTTTAATTCTTTCGACATGTTCGCTTTAAAGTATTGTTTCATGAAACCACTGGTAAGATTTAATTCATCGTCGGCTGCAACTGAGTTTTTTAATAGGAACCCTCGAAACTTAGAAAGAATGCGTATTGGACGAAAACCTGATGGATATCATTTAGAAAAACCTGGTAGAAAATTCTGGCACAAGTAAATATGCATTGCGTAAAATGAAAAACCCTTTCTAAAAGGTAGCTGTAAATATCCTTATATTTATCTAAACTTTATTATTTTTCAGACTTGAAGTAAAAGGTTCTAATCGAACAGTAACAGCACAAGTAGTGCACTATCTTAATGGTCCAGTGGTTGAAGCTAAAACTTCAGAATGGGCCCTCAGAAAGCAATTATACAGTATGGTCGACACAAGTGCATATATGAACTTGGGAAGAGTACTTGCACAACGATGCCTTGAGTGTGGAATATCAGAAATATATTGTGATCTGAAACCGCAAGAAGGTAGTAAAATTGAAAAGTTCCTGAAAGAATTTGAAAACGGAGGGATCAATTTGTCAGAGTTAGATGTATATAAGAATCCACAACCATGGGATCAATTTAGGCCAGAGAAGCCTTGGGAAGTCACAGAAGAATAATTACAATGGGCTTTATGTTACAGAATAGAAATTAGTAATACATAATTATTTGTTTTTTAAATCAGTTTTTTATGTACTAAATAACATAGTTCAGTAATTAATGATATTGTTTAGAAATTAATTTTATACAATTAATGAAATCTACATGTTAAGGCAGTCTGTGTAAAGTGCCAGACTCAAATAGGTAAACTATTAAAACTACTTTAAAGTTTTTGTCAAATATTAAACAATCATGTTTATGGATACTCCAAGCTATCTGACTATTCATTTTATATACAGCAAGTATGTCTGTTATTTATAAGAAAGTAAAAATATGTAAATACTAGAGTATATTCAATTGTAATAAAATACATTAGCATAAATCTGGCAAAACCAACAAGACATGAAAACTAAGTGTTGTGTATGTATTTAATATTATAAAGCTAAAGTTTGGTTGAATGTAGTAATATGCTGCTGGTCTGAATTAAAAAAAACATTTAAAAGCTTTAAGCTTAATTATTTTGAGAGGAGGCCTGCCAAGCACATCTTGACCGTGGGAGTACCTGTCGAGTGAGAGCTTCAGTGGTGGCAACCCTTTTGCCTTTGGAAATGTGCTAGAATACCGAAAAGACTGTGTTTTGCGTACTGAAATATAGTTATATAAAGGTAATAGGTGCCCTTCGCCGCTTCGTAACTCGTGTGCCCTTACTTAGTCATTTCAAAATTGTGACATTATCCTCTAAGTAAATTTTACCATCTGCACTTGAACCATTTACAGAAGTTTAAGAGCCTTAACGTTGTATTTCCCTAAGCAAGTGTTCGCAATCGTCAAAATTCATATCATGTAGATATAATAGGTGTGATTCGCAGCTCGCGTGGAATCTCCTCGAACCCATTCTTAATCAATTGAAATAAAGATAACTTCACCTTTGAAGATTTTAAATCCGCAATAGACATACGTGTGCAATTATAAATGCCATTAAATTATTCAATCAGGCAAACAAAGAATTGTAGAAAACGAAATACACCGGAAGAATATTCACCTAAGCGAAACATACATGCTCATTTTACAACGGACTTCGGCATTATATTTTTCGGGCCCGGAACTCGAGCAGCAGAGGAGTGGCCTTCTTTGACCATGCGTGCGTCATACTCGTGAACGGGTGCAACTTGTGGCGACGGGTCGGACTGGAATTCGTGTATGCAGTGATGTTTGTTATTTCGACTAGAGCAGTGATTCCCAAAGTGGTCTATATCGACCCCTAGGGGTCTACGTCAGCGAAAAAAAATTTGGGGGTCCACGATAGTGGATCTCAACACATACACTGATAGAGGAAAACAGACATCGCCTATTTAACAGATTTGTTTACAAAATTTAATATGGTTAATTTGCAATTATAAGGCGACAGTTTAAATTTAATTAAAGTTAAAAAGTTTAAAAAGTTTGGGGAACTCTGGACTAGAGTCTGGCTAATGAAAGAAGATAACGAAAAAGCGCGGCAAATTCAAATAATTCAATTATCTTCTTGCATTAGCCAGACGATAATATGTATTTGCGTGTTGTTCCCACGATAATGTAAGGGCGTGCTCCTATTTTCCCATGCCTCCTGCTGATAGAGGACAAATCTTTGTTTTTAAATTATTTGATTGTTATTAATTACTTAAGATGTCATGTGGAACATGGTGTTATGGTTCCTTTGTGTAAACTGTAAAAAAAAAAAACTTGACGATTAAGAACAATTGAGAAAACAATCGACACAAACGACGACAAAATTAAAATTTCGTAGAGAATTTATGAAATATTAGTATTTTATGCAAAATAATTTATTGAAATTAGTACAGCAAAATAATTTAAAGTAATTAAGGGTTGGATTTAGAATTACGTCGCTCGAATTTGATGATGATACTGATTAAGTATTAATTTTCGACACTTTTAATATTTTAATGACAATTAAATTCCTAACATATCTTCCTTTTTCCCTCCCTCTAGGTCTCGGGAATCTAAATTTTTAAATTTGTATAATTATGAACAAGACTTAAAAATTAGTTTGCCAAAGAAGTTGCACTTTTGACATAAGTACGTGTACTTTGTACGCACGCACTTTTATATGTTACTTTGATATGTTAACGTAAGATTGTAATCTATCTCGCGAGATTATAAACTGTCGAAAGATTGTGAACCTCAGCGTACTGCTTACAATTTAACGTATTATTATTCGGTAGATTGTAATCTATCGAAGTGAAACCGTCAAATTGTGAAACGGCCATTTCCTACTTTTCTATTGGTTATAAGAGATGTGACATTCTCGTTTTCTATTGGTTATAAGTGATGTGACATTCTCGGTAAATTAATCGAATCGATTATTTCCTCATTTGTTATTTTTAAAGTTGAACCTAATCGAATCGATTATTTCCTCATTTGTTAATTTTAAATTTAAACCTAATTTAACCATTACTTGTTAAATGTACATACATTACATTAACTTAATGTTTCAATTAGTGTATGGTTCCGAAAATTTTTAAATTATTCAAAAATAATCTATTTTTTAAAAGTGAAAATCGATTTTTGTATTCGTTTTTGTATTCGATTTCGAGTTTCAGTTGAACAGTTATTTAAAAAAAAAAATTGTGCGTGTACTAGGTACACACGTAAGAAGTGAAACTTCTTTATGATCTTATTTTTCGAAAAATGATCTACTATATGCAACTTTACAGAAATTCGTTAAATTAGATAAAGTTTACCAAAAGGCTTTTATTATCATAGAAATAGAAAAGTAGAAAATGGCCGTTTCACAATTTGACGGTTTAACTTCGACAGATTACAATCTACCGAATAATAATACGTTAAATTGTAAGCAGTACGTTGAGTTCACAATCTTTCGACAGTTTACAATCTCGCGAGATAGATTACAATCTAACGGTGTTTACGATTTTACGGTGACAGATATAAGCCGGTTTGTTTTATTTTATTTTAGTTATTACAGTTAAATCAACACTATACCGTGCAAACAAAATATCGTGTAGGTATATGCCCCCACATCGCTGTCTACTAAAGAAGAAGTCGAACTTTTAAGTTTTGCGAGATGCTGACTACGATCCTGAGAGGGCTTCCAAAAAGGAAAGTTACCATTATCTTGGGAGACTTCAATGCCAATTGCCACTGTTGGGAAAACTACAGACTATTGCATTCGTCGTTTTGGTGGCTGATTTAGGATCGGCCAACGTGATAATCGGGGCGAGCGTTTAATGAGGTTTTGATGTGAAGAAAGCATAAACATCACAGGTATTGGTGATATATTGGCTTGAGAAACACATCCTAGGGAATGATTATTGGAGCAGTGAGAAGTCGCAACTTTCTGTAAAAACATTATCTGCCGTCTTAACAGTCAAATTTAATTTTAAGACGAACATCTTCGACGACGAGACGAAAAAAAAATGTAAAAAAAAAAGTTTTTATCGTTTTTTCTTCTTTTTTTTCACGTATGAAATACTTGCAAAGTGTACTCTTTTTGAACAAAAAAAAAGATGGTCACCTTAGCTTTATTGACTACACAAAAGCTTTTGACTGTGTAGAATGGGACAAACTGTGGAAGGTACTACTTCAGATGGAAACTCCTCAACAATTTGGGAAAAGGATTTCCAGTGGGCAGAAAGAGAATAGCAAACTAACGGTACGCCTACGACACAGTTTTTCTCTCTACATCCATGGAAGGTATGGAAGAACTGTTCCAAAGATTCGAGCTAGAAAGTAGAAAGTACTCACATAAGCCTCGCAACGAACAGAGCAAAAACCAAAATGATGATAGTAGATCGACACAGAATTGTATGTGACACACAAACTTTTGCAAGTTGCCATTATCTATTAGATAAAGTCTTCGTAGCCTGTGACAATAACAATTAATAGTTCGTCAATTGTCATATGTCAAAAAGTAATTGATTTTAATTAAGTTAATAAGCTGTGCTTTCATGTCAAAGGAAATATGTTTTTTGCTTACTTAAAAGATAATACTTTAATTTAATTCTTAATTTCTTAAATAATTGTCATTTATCAACTTCTGTTTTATTAAAGTTTTTCTCGAAAGACATCGAAAATGGCGGAAAACATAATGGCGTCTGTTTTTTTCTATTTTTATTAGTGCTGACAATTATATATTCATCTCACTCTTACTTACTACAAACCCCCTTAGAGTGATGGGCACGCGTAGCAATCAATATGTCCACGTGACCTGTCGTCAGTCTCGCTCACGTCTCGCTTCATTCGCACCTCTCCTAATTGCAAATGCAAAATGTGGAATCGTTTGGAATTATATAAATTAGTTTCGTACTGTGGTTAAGTTTTCTTGCTATGTGATTAAAATGCCTGCGTCAATTGGTGTTAATTTACGCGTTACTGGCCACTGTAGCCAAGGCGGGAGAAAGTACATGGAGGATTTGTTTTCCGTTGCGTATCAACAAACTGAGGATGAAAGGGATTTAGAGTATGCATTTTTTGGCATATACGATGGTCATGGTGGAGGCGAAGCTGCTGCATTTGCTAAAGAACATTTAATGGATTCTATAGTAAAGCAGCGCCAGTTTTGGTCTGACAACGATGAGGACGTTCTCAAAGCAATTCGCAATGGTTACATGTTGACCCACTTGAACATGTGGAAAGAAGTAGGTAAATATCACAGCCAGCTTTAAGTACAATATGTAGACACTGTATAATCTTTCAGGACGATGTATCAACCTTGTAGAAGATATGAGTGATTGTACTACGAAACCTTACTTGACCTTGCTGAAATCATTATTTTTTATAAAGTACTTTGACATTGAGTCAACAAAAGATTTTCAATGGGTGTTCTTTGTTTTTGGGTATTAGATAATATTGGTTTGCAGCATTTATTACTAAAAACTGTTGCACTTGTTTTGAATTTTGTGTGGGATTTTGTTCAAGTGAAAGCTGTATTACCAGTTTTGATTTTTAATGTTGTTTCAAGTTTCCTCTTACCAAAATCTATAAAGTATCAATGAGGTCAAGTATTGCCAATTAATAACAGTCAAGTATTTGACAAATATCCTTGGAAGAAAATACACAAACAATGTTTGCCGTTTTAAACTCATGTTTTTAAAAAAAACTAATTTAAAAATTAATACTTTCCAGAAAAGTGGCCTAAAACAGTTACTGGTTTACCTAGTACAGCAGGAACAACAGCTAGTGTTGCATTCATACGGCGTGGTAAAATTTATATAGGACATGTAGGAGACTCAGCTATAGTACTTGGATATCAGAAAGATGGTAAGCTATGTCAGAAATTTTATTAAGTTACAAAATTTTAAGTATTTTAGTGTTGTTTTGCCATAAGTAATCTTTCTAACATAATGAATTACAGAAAATTTTATTTAAAGAAGTTTTGTTTAGTGTTCTTAAGCTAACAAAGGATAGTGATGGTGACAGTGACTCTTTGGTGATGTTGAGGGGCTGCACAGTTACTGGTGTTAAAGATTGTTTGATGTATGGAAATATACATTACAGTATATGGACAACAATGCAAACCAACCAAAGTCTGTTTGAAATTGAGTAATGTTACTTCCTAAGGCATTGATATGTTGTCCATGTTCCACCATAGCTACTGTTGTTTAATAACCCATATAAACATAGCACCTAAGTCTGAATTGTTACTAACCCATTTAACAAAATGTGGATAAGAATGAATATACAGTAGAACCTCTATAAGACGAACATCAAGGGAGACGCCAAAAAATTCGAGTTATAGAGTTTTCAACTTATGGAGGATTTCGACTTAGGCGGATTTTGATTCGACATAAAGAGTTTGAGGTTTAAGTTTTTAGTTTACGTTTCACTGCACTCATGTTAACTGTTGTACTAATTGATGTGTATTGCAGTAGAACCAAACTACTTCTGACAGTATTAAAGTCGAAAACAAATGACTGGCTTAGCTAAATTTCCAAGGGAATCAAAATTGAACACCTGACACAAAGCAAGCAAACACGTGTTTCCATGAGTCATAAATTTATTATTGTATACTCCTAAAATGTTTTCTAAGAAACAATAGTGTACTCACATTGGCGGCAAGTTCTTAAAGTCGGTAACTTATTTTTGTTCGAACAATAGAGATAATAAATTCCAAATGATCAAGTTGTAAAGGTTGTAAAATAAAACGTTCCTATGTTCGAGATACAGAGGTCAAATTTAATTTTTCGAGTTATAGAGTGAAAATATGTACCAAAATGGCTTGGAGGGACTCGGTGATTATTTCGATTAACAGAGGGTCAAGATTTCAAGTAATGGAGGTTTTGGTGTTTTAAGGGAAGGGAACAAAACATTTTTTTCGAGATTTGGAGGTTTTTGACTTATCGAGGTTCGACTTAACGAGGTGCTACTGTATTTTATTTTCTTAAAGATTGTGAAAAATGGGCAGCCAAACCTTTAACATTGGACCACAAACCTGAAGCCAGTATTGAGATTGAAAGAATCCAAAGATGTGGTGGAAAAGTTGTATCAAAAGCTGGAGTACCAAGAGTAGTATGGAACAGACCAAGACCTGGTCACAAGGGACCTATAAAGAAAAACACCCCGATGGATGAGATACCATTCCTTGCTGTGGCAAGGTCATTGGGTGATTTGTGGAGTTATAATCCACAGAATGATGAATTTATTGTTAGTCCTGATCCAGATGTTGGAGTCTTGACAATAGATCCTGCTAAGTTTCGGTAAGAACATTGTTCTTCTATATAATAATAACAATGTATTTGAAAGAATCTGATATTTTTTTAAATACATTATTTTAATTAAATGAATCAGTTGCCTTGTCAAGTACATGAAACATCACTGTAGTTTTTTTTTTAATTGTGGTAACTAGCCTTGTCTTTAAATGGTGTTCAGTGTTCTGCAACATCTAAGTTTTTTTACGGAGTTTGCATTTGAGATTAATGTTATATATTATGATAAGCTTATAATAAGTATTAAACTCAATTAACAGGTCTGGTTATTGAATTGTTTTAAAAAATTCTGTAAAAGTTAACATTGTTGTGGTGTAAGTTTGTTCAACAATGGGAAATGGCTTTGAGTTCTTTTATTGTACATTACTGCTGAATTAACTTTGAAATTAATAAAAAAATCATATCCCTGAATCTGGATATTGGCAGTGTTTAACACTTTTGTGCCTTTTATAATTATTATCTGTCAGTGGTCTTGCTCCTTTGTTACACACATCTAGCTCAACAGATACTTATGAAATATAAGGTATCCCTTGTGGATGGTCAGTCTCAATATCGATTAGACACCATGGTGGAAATAGCCTGATTTTGACAGATCAATTTAATCATCTGGATTTCTACCACATTTAAGAATTGTATGTAATCTTTTCAGATGTCTTATATTTGGAACTGATGGTTTATGGAACATGATATCCCCTGAAGGTGCTGTAAGTTTAGTACAAGCTACCGAGAAACACAATGAGGCCGCATTAGTGAACTGCGGGAACCAACCTCGGGATTGGCTAAATCCATCTAAAAGCCTTGTAGATCATGCTCTGGAGAGGTAAGCATTTGCTTCTTAATAGATTTTAAAAAATTGTTCTACCTACACTACCAAACATTATACACTATTTTGTTTATATTACTTTTTTATTTTTTTCTATAATAAAGTTCATACAAAAGAGTGCAACTTTACATAAATTACAATTTAGCCTATACAATAATTTTTACGAATAATTAATATTATGTTGATTTAATTCTCTACAATACTGGTGGACAACTTAAACTAAGGTAATGTTCATTTACAGTCTTAATGTTCTATAATGTTTCGACACTATGTTTGTGTCTGAGATATTTTACACTAGGTTTATTAAATCTGGTATGTTCTAAATAAAGGTTTCTTTAACATTAACATGTTTTTAATATGGAATAAGAAGTACTATATGCTGTTTCATCAAAATCGTGTTATTAAAAAACCTTAACTTAGTTCAATGGGATTTTTAGCTTGTACTCAAATTAGTTATTGCACATTTCTTATTCTTATTGTATTTAAAAAATAATTTTTTTTTCAGATGGTCTAACACTAGAATGAGGGCCGACAATACTTCTGTTGTGACGTTAATGTTAGACCCTCCGGGGCCACCTCGCGCCGCCGTTCTTCGTTCCCGGACAGCGGGGCAGAAGCCTCAGTCGCCACTAACACACGCGACACCCTCTCAAACCGTCCCCACAAAACTTGAAGAAAAACCTGAAAATGGAGAAGGAGAGAGTCCCGCTAAAGTCCCACAAAACGGTCTCACAATTATGACGCGCTACTCCGACGTCGACAAACCGGTTATCTCCACGAATGACGTCGAGAAAGCCCCGCTACCCCCTTGTGCCACCATTGACGGAAGGTTTACGGTCCCTCGGGAAGTGTCACACGCTGAAGGCGAGAGCGATACAATAATGAACTACGGTAATCCGGCTGAGTCATATTTCATGGCGCGTTTGTTAAATCGAAGTCGCGTAGTGAACACCTTATCTGAAGTATATGACGAAATAGTAAAAGCTACCCCGAAAGATCCCTCGGAGACCCGCGAACCCTCCCCGGGACCGACCACGATACCGGAAGTAAAGACCGAGGAGCGGCCGCCCTCCGGGCCCCGACAATCGCTACCTCCGGAGGAAACTCCCAACGGGGACGCGCCTGCGGAAGCCGACGACGTCAGTATACAAATTAACGAAGTGTCATCCAGTTCACCCACGGATGGACCTGCACGAACGCGGGGGCGACGGTTTCGGGATTTGAAGCGCGATACCCCTCCCAATGACCGCGTGCTTCGTTCGCACCACGAGCCCGAGCCCGAGCCGCAGCGGCCGCAGACGCGTCAGGCCGCCACGAGGCTGCGCTCGCCCGCCGCACGGCCCGCGGAGCGAGTGGTTATCCTCACTCGACGGGAGCGAAGGCCGGCCGCGCCCGAGCCGCCCGACGAGCGTCGAGCCACGCGCTCTAATACCAAAGTGACGCGTAGCACCAGCGAAGAAGCGCGCGCGACGAGCGTTCCTCCCGCGGCGGGAAACTCCGCGCGCGCCCCGGGGCCGTCGCGGCGGGTCCCGGCGGCGCCCGCCCGCTCGAAGGAGAACCTCGGCGCCCCCCGGCGAGGCCGCGCTCGCGTCGACCGCGCCCCCCCGCCGCGCCCCCCGCGCACTCGACGCGCCGGTGACCACGAGGTGCACTCCACCACGGACGACACTCGACCGCGTGCGCTGCGCTCTCGCAACGAGGCCGAGCCCCCTGGCAAGAGACCGCGCTGCGAAGAAAAGCCGGCGCCGGACAAGTGCGGCCGCGTGCTGGGTAAGCGCGCGTCGGGCCCTTGGGCGCCCTCGCCGGCATTGCGCAATCGCCTTCGGCGGAGACTCGTCAAATAGTTAGTGATAGTTACCTGTGTGTGTTACAACGGTGCCTTCAGTACTGCCAAAGTACTCTATCGACTGTCGCGGCCCGCGACCCGCTCGCGGTTCGCGTATCCAAAGATGACTGCGTCGTATACGGTTAGATTTCTGTTGTTTTGTTTTTATTTTTTCGCTAGTTTGCGCTCGATCGGTTGGGTTCGAACGAGTTTGAAACGCCTGGCGGCGTCTCCGTTGTCTCCTACCGATTGCCGCTTTCGTTAATTGTAATATGACGGTAAACGTAAACAATAGTACAAAAATTTATCACATAGTTAAGACGAAAGCGTGGACCAGGCGACGTTAGCCCAAATGAATACTTATTTATCTATATTTAATACTAGGATCTGTGGTGTTGCATTTAACTTTAAATTGTGAAAATTTAATTTTCATAGAAAAGTCAGAGGCTACATTGTTGACCGGCTCCAATATATTTATATTCATAAATATCTAGAATTGCTAATTACGTAGCTAGAAAATGAAGGCGTCAGGAATTATATATTGTACAACAGTACTGTCATAAAGGAAATACATACATATTTTATATAATCATGAATATTTTTATAAAAATCGCGAAAATAAATATATTGTTAGTGTTTTCCTTTGCAAGTAATTATTGGATGAGGTTATTCTTTTAGAAAAAGAATTATAATTTAGTAAATGTACTCAGTTGTTAAAGAAATTTTCTGTAAACGACGCAATTACTTTTAGAATCTTTATATAAGGGCAAAATTAAATTTTATATTTACGATTCACTCTAAAATAAATTAACATAAGTTTAAATTTAAAAAAAAATATCTTCAAAGCGTCGTTTTTATTGCACAGCCTTCTTAATAATAATTTGCTTACAATGTTTCGTTAACTCTTGGTGCTTTGTCTTACTCTAAATTTTTCAAGACTCCATCATTTACTCTAATGCATTGTGATCATTAAACCATTGATTTATGTAAACCAAAAACCGTTATTTTGTTGATTACCCGTTATATAATCATAATCGTTTATTCAATAAAAATTTTATGTAAAAAATTTGCACTGATTCAAATTGATATTTAGACTTAGCAAAAACAGAAGAGCCAATTAAATTATATTCCTTTTTAGGTACAGCTTGTATCAAAAATGGTTTGAGTATTTGGCTGTTTGTTTAAGGTCCATTATTTACAATTGTATATATAACGTCATATAAAGACATGTGCCTCATTTGTTACCGATTTAAACAAATACATAGGTAAAGGTGTTTGATAAAATGAGATATTATGTATTTTTATTAAAAATAAAATTTTATGCAGTGTAAACTGTTAAAGAGTATAATATAATTTATTAAGCTAATTGTGTAAATGCGATTTTACCACGCACTTGTGTGCAATTTTTTTGTAAGTGTGGAAATCCCATAATTTAAATGTAAGTTTGTTTCTAAATTTTTATATTGTGATTGAAACAAGAAAACGACTTGAGCAATGTTTATCAAGCTTTCTTTGTTTACCTTGTTATATAACATATCGTACACAGCTTAAAAGTATGGGATTTGCATACAATATTAGGAATGCAATTTTTGTTTGATAAGATGCGATTGAATGTTAAGTTTTAAGAGTATGTATTTGATATTTTTTGTGTGATGGCCTTGAATGTACTAGATATAGTACGCTAACCTTGGGTGAAGCTGAAACAAATTTTAACTATATTAGTAATGAAGTAAAGAATAATTGTAGTCTTTATTTTTTGATTTAAATAAAATTTGTATGAAATTAAACATTTGTTTTATTACTGTTAAATAGGTCGCCCAATACAGAACACACATTTTTCAGAATTAGGTACCCTGTGAACTCGTTTCAGTTTTCCCTTCAAAATTTCAGGGTTTCAAACTCCCAAACTCTACTGCACGTAACATTAGATAATTATAGTTGTATGCGGTGTTTACGGTTGAGCAGCGGGATGAATGCGGAAGCTGCGTCACGGTGCGATCCCCTACCGGCATGAATGGCCAACCCGTCCCGCCGCGGCTAGCATCTGTCTCGAACAAACGCCGGGCGCCCACCCTCCTATTCCAACTTGCTAGGTTATAGTTTGAGTGCGCCTTGCCGGCCGGTCGCTCAGTTACGCCACAATCGTAGTATGTGACACATCTATTTAGAATTACTACGTATTTAAAAAGTGATAGAAATTAGGATTGCAACAAAGTGGTTTTGGTGTTTTAATTGCAAATTACAAGCGGTGTTTAGACATGTAATTACGCGGGAAACTTTTTTTGTCGTTGCGTGCGTTCGGTTATCGATCGGGCTGCACCGCAGTGCAACGGACAACAATATAATATTGTACAAGGGTTTTGTTTACATCATGATGTGCTAGTCGCTAAAAATACACAATATTTCCTAAGTAATTATTTTGGGATAAATGTAGTACTAAAAATAAAGCAACTGCATTATCTTTTTTATTCCTGGACGAGATCTAAATATAATATTTTATCATACCATTTATGTATGGCCGGATCCTAAATTTCTTTTATTATTAAACATGTCCATAAGAAACCATTCTCCATGTTACGAAACAGGCTCTACCAGTTTTTTTATTTGCTATTGTAACGTATATCCAACAATTTGTTGATTATCTGCTGTCCATCATAATTCATAATGATTACTAGCTAGGTTTGTTGGACTTTTCTTCATTTTAAATGATTATTTAGATTTGATACAATTTTATAAGTAGTTATAATAACGATCAATCATTTTGTTTTAAATAAAAACATCTGAAATAGAATAAATACTAATTTAAAATAATAGTTTAGTTTTAGATAATACAATAGTGGTATAGCAAAGATTGGTAATCGAAACAATGTTTTGTCTTACATAAAAGATTAGAGCAACTTACCCTCGACTTAATCACTATCAAAGTCGATTTAATATTCCGGTATTTGTGACGCAAAGAAACCTTATACAAGACTTTACAAAGATCTAAGAAATAATATAGACGTTTCTAAGATTTAACTAGGTAGAATACTGAACAATGCGTTATTGTGCTTTTTCCTATTGTTAGAGAATATAGCTCACAGGACACTTGTCATTTTTAAAAGGACACTTAAAACAGTTTTAGCACCATCCATTGTCAGAAAGAACTAGGCAGGCAATTTAATGTTAGAGGAAGGAGCTGTTTTAAACTGAACTGACACGTTATTATTGTAAATATGTTTTGTATTGTATTTAATTGTACATAAATTAATCAATATTTGGTTTATTGAAAATTCCCTGAAGTTCTTTTAAAATACTTATACATTTTTTTAAAGAATGCTTGCCGATTGAACAGTTGTATATTTTCGTATTTTGCAAGTGCCACTAGCTAAGTTCTTAAAATATACCTTTCACGAATAATGCGAACTTTTATTCGACGAACTAACAGTTTTCTAAAAAAAGTAAAAAATTCAGGCTCCGTTTAGCAACGGTAGTTTATTTTGTAGTGCTGAGCAACCGTAGGCAATCTTGTGAAAGTTTCGCGATGTAGTTGTTTTTCGCTTAGCTTCGCCCGATTTCCATTGTTGGAGCTCATAACTTATTAGGGTGTCGTTCTATCATTCGTTTTAGTGTAACTGTGTACTGTGATTTTGAAACTTTAGAGTTTTAGGTTAGTTCCGTAAAGTATTTATGTAGTAGGTAGTATGCTAATAAAAAAATATTAATAACAATGAACAGCTAAATTGAAAATAAAATCCGTATGATATGAATATATTAAATAATTTGTATAAATCTTAAAATAATAAATATATTATTGTAAGATTAGATGACTCCCTAATCTTAGAAAACTTAGTAGTGCGGTTGGTTCCATTAGCCTAAGTAGTAAAGTAACAGCGAGTTATCTATACAATGCAGCTAATTGCAATATTTCCTACATAATTATTTCTAAAATAATTTTTAATTAAATTTGTCCTATTCGAGTTCGCTTATCAAATTAACAGCTTGTTTTGTGTTATCGGAAATTATTAAATTTTCCTCTACCATTTTCGACTCGAAACCACTTTAATATGTGAATTGTGACGGAAAATTGACGTAACAGTTTATAGTGAACGTGAAAAGAGACAAGTGTGCTATTGTGACTGGAAATATGTGGATTAAAATGGGTATGTATTTTGTATCATTACTATATCTTAGAGTAAACATTAGTAAATTCTCTGCTCTCACTTATTGTTTGGCCGTGTTCAACGTTTATAAAAAAAGTTATCAAAAAATTGCCAGAATTCACTTAACGCGTATTAATTTACACCGAATTGTATACCGACTACGTCAGACAATTACATTTCATTTAATTAACTGAAATCGACATTAAAACGTAAATTTCCTTAGATGTCCCTTTTTTTTCAAAAGAGTTTATATGTTATAATCTCTATAAGTTCTGCAACAATGGATTCTTTATGTGCTTCATTCGGATCGTCGACGGTCAGTCACTTTCCGCGCTTAACCCCTTGGCGTTGCGTAGAGTTGCGTCTTTCTGCATCTTCTACCGCTTTCTCTTTTATCATTGAGCGTGCTCGGAGCTGAGTTTTATCGTCGGACGTTGAGGCGAAATATTAAATTCCACCCGTATCACCTCGACTTCCGTCTTTCCATAACAACGTTTTTAAAGGAAAATATGAAATCTCATAATTCTGGTTTATGTCTACATACACATTTCACCGCTTGGCTAAACTTTATAACTCTTTTATATTATATAGACTAAAATAATTTTAATACATACATTAATGTGACGACTACATAAGTTGGTTAAATTAATAATTTAATGTTAAAATCGAAGTAGGTAATATTAATATAATAGTGGTGGATATTTAGTTTTTTTTTGTTTTCCGAATTCTATTTAATTTATCTAAAATAAGTATAATTCTGTATCCCACTACGTTTTATTATTGTTAGGTAACCCGCCAACAGAGCATGAAGCATACGTAACACCAATATAGTCTAGCAATAATTGTTTCGGTAATCAAATCCGAATTTCTGTTCTGT